ATAAACACATGTAAACACTTTATCATCAACTTCGTATCATGATCTTCACTCACTTCAACCTTTCTCATGAAATTATTTGTTTATTTTTTACTCTTTTTAATCAATTCCATGAACTTACAAAGAACCGGTTTAAGAGCAAAAGAAAGTTATCACGACTGGGAGTGAAAATTATTAGAATTCAAAAGTTTCAAGATTTGTTCTTCAGACGATTAATGACTTTCAGAATTTAGTTGTTTCCGGTTTTTCTTAACTTTTATGATCAAGACTAATGTTGTGTTATTAATCAACTCATTTGACTGTTAATAAAGTTTATAAAAGTTATTTTTGGAAGCTTTCAATGGAAATGAAATGTTTCTGTAAAATTGTCAAAATTTAAATCCATTTTTTCGTTCTTCTTCGCCAAATTAATCATTGAGTTTAAAAACATTTTGAAACAAGAAAATGTTCAAATTTTTCTTCTTCTATTTTTAAATTAATTAACTTGTAATTAATAATGAAAACTGTGAAAATGTGAAATAAACAGAGAAACTGGTTCATTGTTCTGTGAGATTAAACATGGAAACTAAATGATGAATGAAAGGAAAATCTGAATCTGAAGCAAAAATGATTATCATGCAGCTACCTGAGCATGTTTCCGGTTCCATTGATCCGGATAATAATATTATCAATCTTTGCCTGTGTCTATTTTGGCTTCATTTTTCTTCTTCTTCTTCCCATCATTTCTTTCATCATTTTTTGCACTCCATGTAATGCAAGGAATGATGAAAATATGATCGCTGGCTTGAGAAATGAACAGCTCTTTGTGCTTCTGATGAACCATCAAAATTGCTGTTGTAACATTTGTAACCTGTCAAAACAGAAGCAACTTGTGCAACGTTATTATATTTCAAGTTTCGGGTTTCAAAAATCACTCTGTCAGTTTAATAATAGACTTGATCATCAATAATTGTATAATGATTAATGTATTTGGATGAGTTAATAATAGACTTTAGTTTTTTTGTTTTGCCATTCATGAAAATTTAGTCTATTATTAACTTTCATAAGTCTCAAAAATGAGCTAAAATTTTTAGGTAATCTTGCAAGTCAATTCGGTAATCCAAACTGAATCAATGTCATTTCTTGGTTAAATAATGCAATGTTATGTCAAACATTGAGACAAAACTCTTTGGTAAAACATATTATTTATAACATTTCTGTTTCTTTCAATGGAAACAAAACTTAAAGACTTAAGGAAATATCAATCATTCATTAACCTGTTAAACTATGCTTTTAGTAAATCGATTTGTTGGAGGAAAATAAAAGGTGACAAAACTTGGAAAAACTTTTAGCTCAAATGTAAATCTTCGTCACTTAAATGAGTTGACATGATATAAAATTCAATATTTATCCAGTTAATGCGAGTTTTTGCTTTTACTTTTTTGACTCAACGTTTTATTGATTTAATTTAGTCAAGTGTCGATGATATCATAATGATGCATCTTGATATATTGTTTTGGTAGTTTGAATTGATCATCAATCCTTTCTAAAATTAGCTGAGGTAAACCTTTTAATTTGCAGAATTGGCTAAAAGAAACTTTTGAAGAAATAAATTTCAAAATAATCTCAATTTATAACGGAATCGGGAAAAGGCTTACATTTTACATTATTAATGAGTTGAACTGAATATTGAAAAATAGTTTAAAGCTTACAAGTGAAAATGTTTGATCGATATAATAGCTAAGAGAATGTGGATTCAACAGAAGTAAACTTAAACTTCATTTAGAGTGGGCAGAAACAGGGCCATTCTCATGAATTTAAAACCTCAGAATTAACATGAATCTTGAGGCATTATAACTCAACAGTTCTGGGTACAAAATCAAATCTCACCAAAAGCTACTAAACTTCAAACTCATGTTTTTTAATAAAATAAGATTTTTGTATAAACTTTTTGCTTGGATTTGATTTCACTTCAAACTGTTGAGTTAACTCGTTTTCAGTTAATTTTGGAGATTCGGAGGAAACCCTCGAGCATTTTCACTGATTTAACCTAATCTGAATGAGTTGCACGTTACTTCTAATGCTGGGTTAACTTTGAATATAGCTTCTAAGATATTACACCTTATTTATGGATTGAAATTCAATATTCTGATTGAACATTTGTAAGTAAAATTTTTCCTACAAACTTAGTTTCCAAAAGTTATTTCATGCAATGGCAAACATTTTCTTTCCAATAATTGATCAATTTATCATTATATTTGCATAAAATGTTCAATTCGTTTCAGAAAATCGTTCATCGTTCAATCATTCACCTTTCAGTAGACTTTTGACTTTTAGGACTTAATACTGTATAACTTATAGTTGTTTGTTGGCCAAAAGGTCAGTTATTGAGTGAAAAGCATAATAATTTACTTTTTGTATTGAAATTATTTCTTATTAAATGTGATCGACTTTGGAAGTCAAGATTGATTCTCGTATTGATTATTGATCAATCGATTCAATAATATTGAGTGTTTGCCTTAATTGATGCATGATGAGTTTGTTATTAACAAGAAAATGAATGAATCTATTGAGAGACTTAATGGTTTTAGTTGATGATTACTATTATTCATCATTATTATTCAATGATCAATCAAATGAAAGTTCATTTAAATTATTACAGGTTAGCGTGATGAACCATTTGTTAAACTTGTTAATTGTGTTTGCATTCACTTAGCGATTTCAATTTCCATTGTCAATTTAATCAATTATGTTGCGTTTAAAAGAAAAACAAGAAAATTAAAATTTATTAATAATAGCAATTCTTTTAATAGTGAACAATGCATTTTATTTATTCAGTGATTCAATCCCTTTAACCATTTTATAACAATTAGTTTTGTGCTTATTTTAGAATTCAATTTTATAACTTAACTAGATTATTATATCGTTACAATGCTTGGCATTCAATTGCAGGTGCTAATAATGAGACATAAAAATAAAGGAGAAACTCTTCAAGTCAGTTAGTCAATGTCCAGCAATTCAATCATTTCATGTCCAGTCTTTGGTCAACAGCATTCGATGGATAAACAATAGACTCTTTGGTCAAAAGCTTTAACTTCCAAGACTTGGTGAGTTTATACCAGCATTTACACATAACTCATGATTATAAATTATCCAGTTTCTGTCAAAAGCTGAAACTCGAATCGCTTTTAGTTATTGTTACAGGTTTCTTCAGATCGTTTTTATTGGCGTTACTTTCGGCGATTCTCCAGAAAATTTACTTACTTGAGTTTTCTGCTGTTGGACAACCGTTTTCGGTTATGGTTTGATTGATGTTAATAGCTAAAGAGAGGAAAGTTATTTTTCGCAGAAATGATCTGTATACACTTTTTTCGATTTACCGACTGTTCTCCTGATTATCACGAATAGTCTAAAAACTTTTCACCTCGTATTTCGAGGACTATCATCACTTGCAATCGCTAATCTTTAACTAATTATAGTCTAGTGATAGAAAGGACTGTAGAAGATCTGTTAATCAGTATGTTATGTTCATACAGTTCACATCAAGTTAACGAATATCAAAGGAAGTCGATTGAAAATCAGTGAATCAGTTTGTTCAAATTCGTTAGCTTTAGCTGTTCAAAGAGCGATTAGAGTTCGAACATTGAACGCGATTTCATCAGAAACTGATTGCTTAAATGTAAATCCCTTATAATCTCATCTAAATCTTGTTCTCAACTCGAAAATCAGTTTTTGCATTTACTTCCTTCGCATTAAATGATTCCTACACTTGGAATTGTACTTTTTTTAAGCAAGAAAATGTTGCTCTCTTAATATTAATTGAAACGTTATTTATTGATCTGCAATTGATTAAAGAGTGTTAAACTTTAGGAAGTGAAAAGCAATCGCGAATTTTATTTTTGGTTATAACTTGAGTAAAGTATTGATGTTTTATTGATTGTTGATTGTTTATTGATGTTTATTTATGTTTGTTTTGATTGTTGATTGTCATTACATTGTAGATTTTACCTTAAACAGGATTGAACAATACTGATGATTAAGCGTGAAAACGATTCTGAAAGACAGGCAATGTTATCATAAATGTGATGAGATGATTATGAGAGTGATAAATCAACTGGGAGTTGATGAAATGGAAAGGATAAAAGATGATTTGTCTTTTTTTGATTTACTTGATGAAGTTGATTATTTTTGTTGTTTTTTTCAGTACTATTCAAGAGTCTATTTGATTGAGATAATATTAAGGTAAGTGCATTTAGCATAACGATTAAAGCGTATCTTGGGAGTGATTTTACGAGAATAGCTTGCAGGTAAAACTCTTGAAATGCTTTGAAGCGATTCTCTGTCTTTTGAAGAGGAAAAGAAGAAAAGAAAAAAAAGAGAAAAAAATTCCTCATTTATAAATCATGATGAATGACTTTTGACTTTTTTACGTTTGTTCTTGTTCTTTGTTCTGATTTGTCTCTCAATTAGAAGCTAAACTAATGTTTTTATTCAAAGGAAAAGTCAATTGGACGATCGTGCCAATGACCAGCAAAAAGATTGTCCACTTTTTTGGAAGATTCAGAGGTTCGATGGGAAGCTTCCTCATGACCTGAGCCAAATGAATCTTTGTTGTTTGATATTATTGCACCAAATCCCAGTTTAGGCGATGAATGTTTAGCATCTTTACGCAGCGAAGAGCTAAAAGGTGAGGTTGAAGAGGTCGATGGGGACGATGGAGTCTGTAAAGATGATGAAGGTGACACTGATGAGGAAGAGGTTGATGAAGTAGATGAAGGTTGAGATGAAGATTGTAAATGAGATGAAAAAGAGGTTAATGGTGATGAAGGTGATGATGGATCATGATGGTTTGATTGATCTGGATCGTAAACTAATGTACCATAAATGGGTCCAAGATCAGTCTTGGGAATTGAATAATCTGAAAATGAACCAGGAACAGAGGGTTGTTGATCTAATCTGGTTAAAGGAAGCTCACCAAGAGTTGCTAGTCGATCCTGAATCTCACCAAATCCATTGAAGTCAGAGTAAACATCATTATTAACCTTATTAACAGAGTCATCTGCCAAGCTTGGATTAACTATTGTTGACGGTAAACGAGCGACTGTTTCAGGTTGAACAAACAATCCCTTATCACTGGTACTATCACTGCCACTGTCACTGCCAGTGTCACTTTCACCGCTTCCACTGGCCACACTTGAACCAAACAAGTGTTGCTTCCTCAGAAGTAAACTTGAAAGATAAAAAGGATTTGCATGTAATTTAGGGTGAGTAAAGGCCATTTCAGGACCGTAAATGTTAACAGCCAAACGATTAGCTTCACTCCAAAGGTACTTTAATTGACTACAGGTTGGCATTGAGTTTAACCCATTACGATGCTTCTCCGAGTTTACCTCAGAGTTTCTGTAGCGATTACCAAACAGGGAAATGTCCATGTTGGAAGGTGATGAGGGTAAAGTGGACAGGGAAGGATGATACCGATGAGGTCCATAGTAGATGCGGTGAAGTGGTGCATGAGAGTCGCACATGAATAATAGTAAAGATGATAATAAAAATAGTTGCACCAACATGATGATCAACACTTTATGGACACTGGAAAAGTTTAAATTGATTGAATTGAGAAAAGACATTTTTTTGCTTAATTTGTTATTCTCACTTTCAACTGTAAAAAGAGATGAAAAAAAAATTGTTCAATTGAATCTTCATTTCAATTTCAATATAATCACTTCAGGTTGACTTGAATCGTAAGTGAATACTCACCTTGTTTCAACAATGTCAATGTTGACAGTTTCACAATTGATTAATCAAAGTAAACTTTTGATTTTCACTTTAATCATCAACATTTGACTGATTTCATTCTGTATAACTGTCTATATTCAGCCATTGTTCAGTCAAATACAAAAGATTGATAAATCCTTGTCGCTGAATAAATCCGTTGAAAGAAGGTGTAAAAAAAGGCGAAAAAACTTGTTGAAAGAAGAGAAGCAAATTTCAAATATTTCACTCAAATTGTAATCATTTTGGACAAGATGAATGTTGGAAATTTCAAGGTGACGAAAAAATGAACAATCTGTTAATTTACTCTGATCAACACTCTACTCTTAACTCTTATTAACTGCCTTCAAAGTTCCATTTCATTCCAAGTTACAGGATTCTTTACCTTTTTATAGGTTTTTATCTCTCACTTACTCACTTCTGAATCTGATTTAGTAAACTCAATTCAGGTGAAATGCACAATTGAGAATCGACTCTGAAGCTCTGTAACGAAAGATGTAAAAAACAAAACAAAATATACAAAATTGAAGCTCAGTTTTGTTTGTCCAATGGTTGCTCATGAGCATGTAAACATGTTTTTCACTTGCAATCATGATTAAATTGATTCATTGTCAGGTAAAATTTTATCATTAGTCAACAAAAGGATTGAAATGGGAAGAAAGAAAAACATTGAATTTCAATTAATTTCGTTGTTTCAAGTTGCTCGCTTTTCCCCGAGTTTATTGTTTTCTTCATTTTAACCTATTTTTTCACTTAATCATTTATCAATATTTTAATTTTACTCGAGACTATTTTGAGATTTACTCAGATTATTATTGTAAAACTTTAATCATTATATAAATAATTTCATAACTTTTTCTCGTCTATTTTATCACAACATTTCATCATTACAGTTGTCATGTTGTAAGTTACTTTTTTTATGGTTTAGTAACATTTAAAATTGAGTTTATTTTCTTGAGATTAAAGGTTTTGTTCAGAAATAATCAGATTTATGTTTTCAATTGTCAAATCAAATGTTTCAATTGTTCATTTGCACTGATTCCTGTTGACACTTTCAATAACAATTTAAGCTTCAAATTTTGTAACATTCGTTGGATATCGTTCATGTTATTTTTTGTAGATCCTTCGAGATAACTCATTTTTTTCAATGTTAATTCATCCATATTTCAGATTCATCATGATTAAAGAACAAGTTTCAAGATTATGAAAGTTGATTAGTCAATTTGCTATTTTCTGTAGGACTTAAAAGTCATTCTTGAAGTATCCAGCAGTTCACCTCTCGACTTGAAACTCACATCAAGTCTAATGGTCGATATTCTGATTAAATAGAAAAATGAATAAAATTCTCGGAAGTGAAATTGTGTTTCATCAAAAATTGTAATATTGAATGGAAATTTTGAGACATTTTGTTTTTGTTTTAGCTTGGGAGTTATAAAGTCCGACTCAATAATCATTGAGTCGGACTTTTGTTATTACTCTGTTTCAATATTTACCTTCATTCATTTCTTCAGAATTTTATTTGCTAATTTGTTGTTATGAATATCATGAGATTTATTCAAATTTAGATATTAATATTTACTTCTGTTTTAAACATTTCACGCTGAAATCATCATCTTTTCAAAGACATAATAAGTTTAGTAAATATTTTTATTATTATGTTGATAAATCAAATTGAATTTTTTAATAAAACATTTTGCTTGGAGCATGTAAACACAATAATTATAATGATATCTGGTATTATTATCAGCTCATACTAATTGACTTATAAATAGGTTGGTTAGGAGTAAAACTGAATCTTTATAATTGAAAAAATCAATTCTTTATTAATGTTCAGAGAAAGGTTGACAGTGAAATAAGCAAATTATGCAAAAGTATTTCAGACTATTCATTGATTGAAAAGATTGAATATTATAATAAGATTCAATTCTTGACTTGGCTTTTGGTCTTTGGATGTGGCTTTTCTGGAGCTATTGGGAGTTTGAGGCATACACTTTTGGGATGAATCACAATGCCGGCCATTCTCGTCATTCTTTCCTTCCGGTCCTTTCATTTTTAAAAGCGCTCAACTTTTGACTTTGAAGCAGCGATTGACGCAAAATGAGGGCAATTTTAAATTTAAAAACGATTTGTTCAGAACTGGATCTAAGGGTAGATCGATAAACTGGTAGTCGGTATCCCTAGCCTATTTGAACCAACTGCAAATACAAACTGCAAAGATGAAATCGATAGAATTTTTTCTTGAATGTCTTGGAGTTTCTCATTATAAAGTCATACTGAAAAGCTTAAAGCCAACAATCAAACAATCAAGCAATCAAACCGGATTCAAGTGCACTTCCAGGCTGTAAATCAAAATTTTTTATCGTAATACTTCTAAAGGCTACTGAAAAATTTAAAAATTTCAATGATTAATGTTGGTAAATTAGTGAACAATTGATTAATCAATGATCGCCAACTTCATCGCTTGCCTACATTACAGCTTTTTAAATCACTTAACGAAAGCTAACTGAAGAGGATCGAATTTTTTCTTGAATTTTACTATCCAATTGTCCTGAAAACCAATTTTGGTCCAAAAATAGTACTGAAATTTGATTTTACTCGGACAGTTGACTTTATCAATTTGCAAATGATAGTACATTGTTATTCTTCGTCAACTAATTGTGAACGTTTATTTTCTTGCATTATTTTAGCGATTGTTGGAGGATTTGTCTTTCACGTTTTTATAATTGGATCAGTTGAAAGAATCACTTTTGTTTTAACAAAAAATGCAAAACCGATGAAACCACATTCATCTTAGCCGTAGGAATTACCAAGAGATATTTATCACTTCTTGAATCACTCGAGATGAATTTCAAATAAACAATTATTTTAGCTAAGCTAAGCTAAGCTTATAACAATAATAGTTTAAATGGCCGTTATGACTCTCATTATTTTATGCTCGATTTGGATAAAATTCATCATTTCAACGATTAATTGGACCAATTTAATTCACACTTTACTCAACCTATGAATTAACGTTAAAATGGTTTCATAATGTTGTTTGATCTAGTCTTGTCGATATAAATTTGCCTTTTACGATTTAGATGAAAGCTTTTCAGATGAAATTCGACTGTTGAGCGATAGCAATTACTAAACATTTTAAACATCATTCAAAAGCTGAAAATAAGTGTTTTCATTCAGTCTTTTCATATAACCTGGGGGACAAGATGAACTTTTTCTTTCATGTTTTTCGTAGTCTTTCAAAATTTATGCTCATGAACTTTTTTCAAAAGGTAATACAGAATCTGTAATAATTTAGTAATGACTCTATTCAAAAAATGTTTTCATGGTTTTTTAAGCTCAATTGGTCTGAGATAAAATGATTTGTATATTAGATTGAATCAAAAACTTATCTTATTTGGTGCGTAATGATGAAAACATGATATTTTATTGTTGTTTGATCTAGTCTTGTCGATATAAATTTGCCTTTTACGATTTAGATGAAAGCTTTTCAGATGAAATTCGACTGTTGAGCGATAGCAATTACTAAACATTTTAAACATCATTCAAAAGCTGAAAATAAGTGTTTTCATTCAGTCTTTTCATATAACCTGGGGGACAAGATGAACTTTTTCTTTCATGTTTTTTGTAGTCTTTCAAAATTTATGCTCATGAACTTTTTTCAAAAGGTAATACAGAATCTGTAATAATTTAGTAATGACTCTATTCAAAAAATGTTTTCATGGTTTTTTAAGCTCAATTGGTCTGAGATAAAATGATTTGTATATTAGATTGAATCAAAAACTTATCTTATTTGGTGCGTAATGATGAAAACATGATATTTTATTGTTGTTTGATCTAGTCTTGTCGATATAAATTTGCCTTTTACGATTTAGATGACAGTAAACTTTTGTTTAGCTTAACACAGTGTGTTGTAAAGGGTGCCCTAAAAGTAGGGGCAAAAAATTTTAAATTCATTCGGATTCATTGAAAAACTATAGTAAAATTAAATTTTCACTTTGATTCAATCAATCAATCGATTTCCATCATTGGTGAAACGCGCTTTTGACTGTGAACGAAACCATATTTTAGACAAAACTAAAGCTTATAAAGACTATCACTTTTGGTTCAGCCTGCATTCATCTTACAAACTAAATTGTTTGCAATTTCAGCTCACAAAATACTTTTAACCCAGTTGAACTAAAACCAGTTAAACTAGCAAATTACAGCTCATCTTGCGAACATGCTGTGAAATATCAACAATCGTCAGTATTTGAAGGACTATTGAGATAATGTTTTATTACAAAGTAGTGTTTGTCAAACCGAACAACTATCAACAAAATGAAATCTATTCCAATTCGCATGAAAAACATGTCCTCTTTATGATCGATGCAAGATTCTAAGTGTAAGAAAAAAGAAAAAGGTTAACCATTGGCTAGGTAAATCATCATTTATTAAAATAGATGACACAATGATATGTTTACATGTATGTTGGAAAAAGATGACTAAAAAATCATCAAGTTATCAAGAATGATAATTAAACGCAAAAATTCGTGATATTACGATTGTAATACTGTAATTAACTTTCGTGAATAAAGAGTCATTGATATAGATAACATGAGGATAGCTAGCAATGGTTTGACTGTAAGCGAAAACATTGCTATTGGTCAAGAAGCACGTAATACAAATTCGTCCAGAAATTAAGTATTTTCATCAGACGCGAGATGGTGCGTTATTTTTTGCATCCGAGGCATTTTATGTTTCATGTAACTCTGCTTGTTGCACTTAGTCACGAGAAGAAAAATTCACTGGACAAAGAATGATGGTCGTAAGCGCTATTACTCTAGAAAAATTGAGATTAAAATTTTCAGGCCAATGGTCAAAAGCAAGAGAAAGGTCGATAAATTGAAAAAAGTGTTCGATCAATTATATGCACCAAAAATTTTTATCGACGAAAAATAAGTTTCAGATCTCTAGCCTTTAAGGTCACAGAATGCGCCTGATTTAACTAAAATTGAAGTTGTACAGAAAACAAAAATTTTATTTCACGAAATAAGTACATTTTCTGTTTCACTATCAAAAGTTAAATTAAGAAAACTATTTTGATAAAAAATCTAGTCAGACAACTGTAAAAAAGGTTATCGAAGTTTCAACTCTGGCCTCGTTTTTGTCGAAAACTGTCGATCAGAGAAATTTTTATTAGCACTATTGGACTCAGTTTTTTGTACCCCTACAGACCCTCAAAGTCCCTAATGTTCATTGGTACTAACTTGGTTGAGTTTTTGTGAACAAAAATTCGAACAAATTTTGCGCTTTTTGTTGCTGTTACCAGAGACAATTATGGCCAGTTTTGATTATATTATAAACACAATCAAAACCAAATAACCAAATAATAATCCAATTGCATGAAAATATAATAAATAAAACAACTTTCCCTCCATATCTAGTCATTTTGTTGCTAGATAGCAAGATGGAGACACCGCTCACATTGGTAACTCGTTGTTTTGGCTAATTTATTTGGTGTATTTTTGTGTATTTTTGCTTATTTTCCTTCGATTTTTCATTTCCTATTTCTCTATTTTTTTTGTTTTTTAACGGTTATTGTCATTCTCAAGTTGATAAATTGATTATTAACAATGTCAGATTCAAACAAGTTTGCTGACATTTCCAGAAGAAGCATTGATCCCAATGGAAGAGAAGATGTAGAAAAGCAAATGGAAATGGTAAGTAGTTATATTGGTTGTATTATTGTTGTTTTATCCTCTTTTTATATAATATGATTAAAATCTTGCCCATCTATTTCTATAAATTGCTGTCCATCTTTAGATTTACAACGGAAATGACTACACTCCTTCAATCTTGCCATTGGTTATGGCTGACGGCTGTGTTATGCCTATTCGGCAAGCTGCCGTTATAAGTTTGAAAAAAAATTTAAGAAATTTGGTGAAAGAAGCCAGCAGCCTTTTTGCAAACATCCAAAGTTTGATACTGGATGAATGCTGTATGGCTGGAAATGAACCTTTAACTAGAGATATTGTTTTAAAAAATAGCCGCTGCTATCGAGCGGTTATTGAATCTAACATGAACACAACCGACTGTATGGAAACCAAGAATATGCTTCATCAAATCAATATTTTGTGGAACCTAGTCGAGATCCTTTATATTGATGTTTTACCTGCCGGTAACCTCGTTGAACAGCTGTTAATTTGGATCAGGTATCATTATCCTAATACAAACTTAGAAGCTGATGCCATGTTAAAAAACAACGAAGTGCACGAGCATCCCAGCTATTGGACTATTATACTCAAGTTTGTTGTCAGAGGAGAAATAAAAATGGCTTCAAAATTACTTAAACTTCATCCAGACTGTGAAACTAATGAAAATTTGAGTTTTATCCATATCCTCATGGAAAAGATGCCACAATTCACTCGAAACTGTATGAAATACGAGTTTTTTGCTAAATGGCAAGCTTGGAATATGCAGGTTAAAACTCATTTTAGAAAGAGTGTTTTTACATCACCAGAAGAAAGAACTATATTAGGTTTGCTGTGTGGAGATTTTGGAACTTTTTCATCAAATAAACATCTTTTTGAGTCATGGTATCATCTCATGGTAGCTTTTCTGCACTTTGCCGATCCATTAGTGGCAGAAATAGATATTCCATCTCTAGCATTCCAAAGTTTAACAACATATTTGGACATCCGATCAGAGGAACAAGCGAAACCATATGATCGGGCAATTCTCAAAGCATTTGCTTACGATCTGATGGCTGTTGTGCAAGAATCTTGCTCAGCGTTTAAAGATGGTTGGTGGTTTTGTACACATTTCATTGATCTTCTTTACCACGGAGGAATTTTAGAAGGAATAGAAGAGCCAAGAAAATTAAGAGAGTTTTTTATTCTTGACTATGCTGATGTATTGATGGGCGATGATAAACTTTGGTCAGATGCAGTTAATTATTATGCTTCATGCTCTGAATTCGGGTTGGAATCACTAAGGCTGCATTTAGAAAGTAAACCTTTAGATACAGAAGAAACCAGATCAAAAATTATTCAAATTTGTGAAAAACATAACCTTGATGATGTCATTCGTGTCGTTTATATAGTTATAGCAAGAAAAGCTCTCACCGAAAATAATTTAGGCCAAGCCTTACTCATGGCTGCTCGAAGTAAAAGTCCAGTGCTTGCTTCTCACATAGCTGACATTTATTTAAAACATTTTGTCGAAAAAAAGAAGTTCCCCGATCAAAAAGCTCTCGATTCTCTTGGACCACTCATGTTAACATGTGATAAACTAACTTTTCTTGCGAAATATAATGAATTTCTTGAATGCAAGAAACGTGGATCTCTTCTCGAAGCCGGTGTTCAATTGGAAAATTTAATTTCATCCAAAATTGCTCCAAATTTTTTCATCTTCACTTTATTAATGGATGCTGTTTCACTGCTAGAAGCTGAAATGCTTATTCTTAATTTTGAGCAAACATACCAAGTTCTGGTGGCCTTAGAAAATTTCGCAAACATGATGAATGAGCAAACAAAAGACGAAGATGTTAAAAATAAAGAAAACTACCTTCGTCTCGCTATTGCCCGAAATATGGCTCGAGCTATGATCTTTGCCTAATAAAGACTGTACAAACTCATCTTAACAGAAAGCCTCATTATTTTCATTTAATAAAACAATCATCGCTGTTTCATGTTATCCAGTTATTCATTAAAATTATTTCCCATGAAATTAAACAATTTTATAAAATTAGTCAAAAAGTATGCCCGAAGTGAGGCTCGAACTCACGACCTTCAGATTATGAGACTGACGCGCTACCGACTGCGCTATCCAGGCGAGCTGTTAGATGTGGATACTAGGTATTTCTTAACAAAAAATAATTCGTAAATTTTGCACTTGTTGCTGTTATCAGAGACCATTATTATCAGCTAACGATGCTTTGAAATTATTGCTTTTTCTTCATTGTCTTCGTCAGCTCTCGAATACAAAGTTAGATGGAAATCCTATAAAAAAATTGTTCTACTGTCGAGTACCCGGTTAAAGCAATTTTTTTGAGACCCATTTAAAGCAATTTTCACAGTCGCCATCTAGGATTTTTTGAAAATTTACATTGCTTTTATAATTTATAGAATCCTTTCATTACCTAAATCTTAAGCGCTGCCACTTTCTGAAAGGCATTATCACTAGATGGAGACTGAGAAAAAAAGATTGCTTTAACCGGGTACTCGACAGTAAATGTTATGCCATTCAAAAGCCATGGGCATTAGTTGTTCTGATACAAGCAAACCAATTTCTGGAAATCTCAAGTTGAAGATTTGTTTCTAGTTTCTTAACTCTTGTTGGAATAAAAGATAAATGATTTTCTGATAAATGATAGAAAACTCAATCAATTGAAGATTATCAGTTTGTAAATATGCAGATGCATTTGGATTGATATTGAAAAAATTGCCATCACATTTTTACACTATCAGACGAATCAGTCGTGAAATCTATTGTTAAGGACATTTTAAAATCAATCTGAGCTTTGTTGAAATACAGGCTTAAACCAAGGATAATATAAGTAGCTTGGCTATTAGCTTATAAGCTTATAAATTAAAGGTTATAAACACAATCAAAACCAAATAACCAAATAACCAAATAATAATCCAATTGCATGAAGATAAATAAAACAACTTTCCCTCCATGTCTAGTCATTTAGTTGCTAGATAGCAAGATGGAGACACCGCTTACATTGGTTTTTTCACACAGAAGAAAAGTGTGTGTGTAACGTTTTATTGGCAACATTGGTAACTCGTTTTTTTGGCTAATTTATTTCGTGTTTTTGTGTATTTTCCTTCGATTTTCCATATCCCATTTCTCTCTTTTTTTGTATTTTTTTACAGTGATTGGCATCCTTAAGTTGGTAAATTGATTATTAACAATGTCAGATTTAAATAAACTTGCCGACATTTTCAGGGGGACTATTGATCCCAATGAAAGGGAAAGTGCAGAAAAGCAATTGGAAATGGTAAAATACTTTGAATTTTTTTCCATAATATTTTCGCTTTTATCCTCTCTTTATTTAAAAAAACATGATTGTGACCTTGTCCATCTTTTTCTTTTCATTATTCATAAATGGTTTAGATTTACAAAATAATTGGCTTTACACCTTCGATCTTGCGTCTGGTGATGGCTGATGGAGTTGAAATGTCTATTCGGCAAGCTGCCGTTATCTATTTGAAAAATAATGTTATTGCTTATTGGAGTGACAAATCTAATGGACCTGGTCTGGACAATGATTTTAATATCCACGAAGCTGACAGACAAATCATCCGTGACTCAATAATTGACGCTATTGTTATGGCTCCTGAACTTATCAGTGTTCATCTCGCTGTTTGTGTTAGCCACATTATCAAAGCAGATTTCCCTGGAAGATGGCTCGGGCTTGTTGACAAGATTTGTATCTACCTTCGGCATCCAGACACCAAGTGCTGGATGGGTGCATTGTTAGCTTTATATCAATTGGTTAAAATTTATGAATACAAAACTGGCGATGATCGAGCACCATTAGATGAAGCAATGAACCTCCTTTTGCCTCTAATTTATCAACGTTGCGGACAACTTTTAGGTGATCATTCGGACCTATCTATTTGCCTTCAGAAACAGGTGTTGAAAATATTTCACGCCTTTACTCAGTATTCATTCCCTTTAAAATTGATTAGTAATGAAATATTTGCCCAATGGATGGAGTTATTTCGAGTTATTCTCGAGAGACCCAAGTTTCGTAATTTCGAACAAGAAAGAGAAGAATCAAACTGGTGGAAGTGTAAAAAATGGGTACTACATATACTGTCAAGAGTTTTCGAAAGATATGGTTCACCTGGAGCAGTGTCGAAAGAATACAATGGATTTGCTAATTTTTATATCAAAACATTTTCCGGGTGTGTTATCGGGCTTCTGTTGAAAATATTAGAACAGCAGGGTAACAAGCATTACGTTGACTCTAGAGTTCTTCAGTTGACCTTGGTTTACCTAAGTACAGCTGTTAACCACGCCGTCACATGGAAACTGATTAAACCGCATACCATGCTTATAGTTCAGAATATTTTGTTCCCGTTGATGTGTTACACCGACGAAGATGATGAATTATGGACAACTGATCCTCATGAATACATCAGAATGAAATTTGATGTTTTCGAAGATTACGTTTCACCTGTTACTGCAGCACAAAATTTGCTTCACATGTTCTCTCTTAAAAGAAAAGAAATGCTACAAAAAATTTTGGCCTTTGTTTTCCAAATTTTAAACGACTCGAATTCAGATGCTCGCATGATTGACGGAGCTCTTCACATAGTTGGGTCGGTAGCGGATATTTTATTAAAAAAAGAGATGTACAAAGATCAAATTGAAGAGCTTTTGGTCACTTACGTATTTCCCTATTTTTCAAATCAACACGGTTATCTCCGAGCTCGAGCTTGCTGGGTCCTAAATTATTTCTCAGGAACTAGATTCCAAAGAGATTCTAATTTAGCAAGCGTTGTCCGTAGTGTTGAAATGTGTCTAATGCACGATAAAGAATTACCTGTTAAAGTCCAAGCGGCAATATGTATCCAAGGTATCTTGACATCCCAAGACAAAGCTCAGAAACTAATGGAGCCCAATATAACTCCTATTTCATTTGAGATACTAAACCTCCTTCGAGAAACTGGAAACGAAGATTTAACTTCAGCTATGCAGAAATTGGTTTGCTTGTATCCAGAACAAATGATGCCCATAGCTTTTGAAATTACACAACATTTAGAACAAACTTTCTATCAAATTTTGGATTCGAGTGCTGACGAAGATAATGAAGACAAAGCAATGACCGCAATGGGATTGCTAACAACTATTGACACCATCTGTACAGTTATGGAAGATCAGAAAGAGATAATGGCACAATTACAACCAGTTGTTGTTCGATTGGTCGTTAAAATTTATCAAGAAGAGTTAATGGAGCTGTATGAGGAAGCTCTAACTCTTGTATGTACTGCCACCACCAACAGTATATCACCTGATCTTTGGAAAATTTACGAACTTATGTACCAGGTTTTCAAAAAAGATGCTTTCGAATATTTTGGGGATATGATGCCAGCTTTGCACAATTTCATTACCGTGGATCCTCAAACTTTCGTCAACAATCGTAATCATGTTCTTGCTATGTATGATATGTGCAAGACAGTTTTAAACAATGATGCCGAAGAAGAAGCTGAAAGTTATGCAGCTAAACTATTGGAATGTATGATTCTTCAGTTTAAAGGTCAAATTGATGAATGTATCAGACCATTTGTAGAACTTGTTCTGACTCGACTTACTCGTGAAGTCAAAAATACCAGTCTACAACAAATTTGTCTACAGGTCATTATTGCCGCTTTCTACTATAACCCTATCCTTTTATTGAATATTTTGAACGATATGCAGCCAATCGATTCAAATCAATCGCTGTTTACACATTTTATCAACCGCTGGTTAAGTGATATAGAATGTTTCAAAGGATTACATGATAGGAAAATCTGTGTTTTAGGTCTGATAACTTTAATCAGTTTACCACCGGAGAAAAGAGTTGCCATTATCAATGAAGCGTCACCTCAATTAATGCCCTCGATCTTAAAACTGTTTGACGGTTTGAAGTTAGCCTATCAATCAAAAGCGAATGCGGAAAATGCTGATGAGGAAGATTCTGAAGAAGAACTGGATGAAGACAGTGACGTGGAAGCTTTGGAGGATGAAGAAGACCATGTTGCTGCTGCCGATTACCATAGTAGAATATTAGGAAAAATAAATTCCCCCGCCTGTCCTTTCCCAGTTACATCATCTTACTTACGAGATGATGAGGATATCAGTGAAGACGATGAGGATGAATATAGTGATGATGAAGAGGCTGATTTCGTTCAAACTGCCTTGGAAAGCTATACCACACCATTGGATGCTGATGATACAGACGTAGATGAATATGTTATTTTTAGAGAAGTTCTCGAAATGTTACAAAAGAAAGATCCCAATTGGTACAATGTTTTGATGTCACCTTTAAAACAAGAACAACAAGAGGCTTTACAATCCGTTTTCATTTTGGCCAGTCAACGAAAAGCCGCAGCAGGTTTGTTTTAGTTGGTTGTTCAATTATTACATTCAGTTGTTTCGTCTTATTTTTTTATCAGTTTTGCTTTCCAATTATCCAATAGTGTTCATCTTTACTCAATTTCCTATCATGGTATTAATTGTAAACCTTTTTCTCATCCTACAGAATCACGTAAGATCGAGAAACTCGGAGGTTACATGTTCCACACTCAAACCGTGCCTAGCTCTTTCAATTTCGGAGGAACACCTATTGTATAGCTTTAATGTATCCATTGACAATTTCTTTGAAAATCTTCCTCGCCTCAATAATCAGCCATTCTGGCCTTTTCTGAAAAAAATCATTCTCCTTTTTTCTTTCATACTAATTTCCTTTTTTGTCATCTTGTTACCACGTTCCTTTTTCCACACCCTATCTCTCTTTTTCTCTCATCATCACTTTATGGAGATAATTTAAGTATGTGTTGGCTAACTTTAATTTTGGTTCTTACAGCCATTCAAAGACGAGTTTACATTTTAATTGAAAGGCTTAATTTGCTTGCAAAATAATATTCACAATCTTTAATTAAATCAATACAAGGCACAGTTGAAGATTTTTCTTCGTTGCCACTTGGTTTGTTAAACGTTTGAGACTTTCCTTAAAATTATTTGCCATTAAAATTTGATAGTTGATAGAGATACTATAAAATTTCCGAGTCTTTACATCTACTTTAATCATTAGAACAAGAACTTGTAAAAGCTAAAAGGGCAAAAAACTCAACTTCAATATTTATGTATCAACCGTTCATTCAAGATGTGAGTCAAAATTCATTTTGATTGCTAAATTAACTTAAATATTACTTTATAAAAGGTCTTTCAGTTTGGTAATAAAGTCTGAAATTTTTAATCAATGGTTATTTCCATAGACGAAATTCAATATCAATATTGCGATTTCTCCATAAAAATCATGTTTACACAGCATAATCTTTATGATTAAAGCTGATAGTTTAATCGCATAAATAGTTTTATCTCCAATAATAATTTCATCAGTTATGCTCTTTAATTGACATGTTTTTGCGAACTAAATCTTAATTGGAGTATTTTTTATTTTTATTTTTCCTGCAGTTCTGCTCAATTCAACAATTTCCAATTTTAATAGGGATGAATACATTTCGCCGTATAATATGAAAAGGTGAGTGTAAATTACTACAATTAAGCTTAACGTTGCTTTCCCACTTTTATTCAAGACTCAATTTTTTGTAAAGCCAATTTAATTGTAAGAGCTTTAATGATTGGTTTCTTGTTAGCTCCTGTTTCGGTCGTAACTAATTTATAGATGTAACATGATCTGTAAAATGATCTTAGCTGTATTAATCCTGATGCAAAGAAAGTCAAGCATGAAATATGAAATTCTGAAAAATTGAAACAAGTAAATATTTATTCGCGACAAATAAACATAATTTTCAAAACAAATGGAAGATACATTTAACCGATTCAGTAATTAATTTCATTTTTACATTTATGATTAATAAACATTAGTACTTTGCTGAGAATTCAAAACAATCAAGAGAAAAAATATGGATTTAGTAATCTGTCATTTTAAAGTTATAACGAGAATTATTTAGAAATGGTTGTCTTAATTTTAAAACACAGAGTTAAATATATGGTCAGAGGTATGGGAATAGATCTTAATGAGTGAGGTCAAGTTTTCATAATTATTATGCTCAATAAATATTGAGGTGGTTAAAGAAATAGTTATCGAATGAAACAAAGATTGTTCCGTTAAATATTGAAATAGACAGTTTTAGCCATTATTCAACCTGTCAGTAGTCAAACGAAGCTAAATGATATCATTTAGAGCGATATTGATCGATCTAATTATGATTCAATTTGGTCATTTTGTTTCTCATATAATTTAAGATTTGAACGACATCGCATAGTCAAGTCTTTGCCTTTTTTGATAACCATAAGACGAGGATATCAGATGAACAACGAGTGAACTAATCTCGTTCTTCTATCGCTTAATCATTTTCATTTTCTTTTCCCTAAAAACAAAACAGAAAAACAGAAAATAATTGCGATACAAAAAATATGTCTTTCACATTGCCTCAAGCCAATTCTGAGGTTCAGAGATAGGAAATATCTGGATAACTTGTCCAATGCATTTAGATTGTCCTTCACGGAAGAGTACTCGGCATCCTGGATGGACATATTCTGGTTGTCGAAGGAATTTGAGCATTATTGATGCTGTTTCATTTGTTGTGATTCCTCTTTTCCCCATAATTGCAATAACAACTGCTGTTTGACAAATATTACCAATATGAACAGTTGCTTGGTAACCTGATGAGATCATAGTTGCATGATAAAGTACATGCATACGAGCTTGAAAATATAGACAAATTGAGTTTTCTAGATGAGGTTCGCGAGTCAACGATACAATCACCATTCCCTTTCTCAATTGCTCTAAAGATTCAGGTTCTTTATTAGCTAAAGCTAATGTAGCACTTTCTCCGGCTCGGACAACTCGACATGGAACTTTATACCGATGGATTGATTGTATTTGAGCTTTAACAAAATTTCCTTCGATATTAGGTCCAATTTGAATCCAATTGCCTTCCTTTAGAATACCTGAAGTTAACAATCCACCAACAACAGTTCCAACCTCAGTTACATGAAACGTTTCATCAACCTGTGGAAATAAATAAATATGCAAAAAATAATAGAAGAGAAAAAGAAATCAGATTAAAATGGATTATCTTATTGACGAAGTAAATTGGTTGAAGTAAGAGATACGAGAGAGTCCGGAAAGAAAGATTTGGCAGCAAGATGGAAAGTTGAGATAAGATAAAAAATAAACCGAAGAAACTGGTATTGATAATTCTTTTTAAGCGGGAACTCGTTTTACGCGGGCAAAAAATGACTCTTATCCCGTTCTCGCTTGTTGAAAATGGTTGCATTAAATTTCAACTAAAAATTCACCTGAAATTCCGCATCCTTTTGAATCAGTTTATCTACATCCTTATTGCTTAGGCATGGAGAGAACACATTGAGAAAAGTATATAAGAGGTCAAGTCCAGTGCCATTTAAACAAGACACTTTAAATATCGGTGTGATATTGGATGCCATCGAACTGGCAGCAGTAATTGCATCATCTTTACAGTTAATTATGATTGGAAGCTGTTGAATGAATGAAAGGAAATGGTTAGATAATTGGTTTGTGTGTATACAGGTAAGTGTGTGCGTGTGATTAGATCACTGAGCAACTAAAGTTTGTTCAAATGGGTGAGTATAACAAGCAAAACCAGCATAAAAAATATTTTGCACCATTAAATACTATTCAGTTTCTCTGTTTTTTACTTTCCCTCATTTTTTATGAGCCTGTTCTTTCCAATTATGATTTGATCATGATTGGAATGATGTAACTTTTTTGTAACATCTAATGATGTTTAACAATGTGTTTAACTATTAGCAGGTTTATTATCTGATGTTTAGTTAGGTAAAAACAAATGAAGCGTTTTAAACACGTCGACAGTTTCCAGTCAAACTTAAAATTACTGTTTCCTCTAGCCTCAGGCTTAGTATTGAGTATGTATCTGTCAACTTGACTATTTAATGGTTTCAAGATTTCAGCGAAAAAAAATGATGCCAATGCAAGGCTGATTTTTGCTTTACTTGTCAGATCGTTTAAACTTTCTACTTTTTTGTTTTTCTGGTTTGTTAATGATTTTTTTCTGCTTTCTCTGAAATGCGAATAAGTGTATAGAAGTATGAAAATTTAGATTTACCTTTTTACAGGCCGGTGATTTAAGTAAAGATTCAAGTTTGTTGAGAGTGTCCTTGGTAGTTTCACTGGTAGAGAGATCAACTTTATTAACAACAATGACTATTGGCACATCCAAGGCCAACGCTAACCCAAGGTGTTCTAGTGTTGTCCCGGCAAGACCGGCAACTGCGCTAACTACTAGCATTGCAATATGGGGAGAATGTCCCATCAATCCAAATATAGTAGTTCTTAGATATTTCTGGTGACCAGCAAGGTCTATAAATGTTATTAACTTAGAAGATGATTCATAAATTTCTTCAGGGGTTCGGCAAACATTATACGTTACAGGGCATCCTCGACTATCGAAACCCAAAATTTCTCGACTAATGGATGATGTATGGCCACTTTGAATTTCATGGCGATGTCGGAAAAGATTAAGTCGAGCACTTCCACGACCATTATCAAGCTCACCTTGAGTCAGTACACCAAGTAAGGTACTTTTTCCAGCTTCGACGTTTCCTAAAACAGCAACTCGAAGTTCAATCGATCCTTGATCATCAGGAACTCGTCTGATTAAAACTTCCATCACTTTTCTCTTGGTTGAACTCGTTGCTGGGCTGACAATCTTTTCCCTTAAGATTGTAACAGTTGCTCCAAGTTTCTCAGCCATCAAATATAAGGTTCGGAGGGAAGAATCTGCTTCTTCCTCAGTTAAACCAACCAATAAACCTTTATCTTCAACACCAATTTCATAGATAGCTTCTCCATGACCTAGGAATTTAATTATATAGTTAGTACAGGAAATTATGTAATATTATTAAATCGTTAATTAAGATATTAACTAATTTCGAAGAGCGAGAAGCACTTGTAACAGAAATTAACAAATGATATTTTTAAGTCTTAAAATGAAAAATCTTTTACTAACCTTCTCTGAGTCTCCATTTCATCTGTGTGACCAAATGTTCAAATCTACTTTGCGACGGATTAATTAATTTTAATTTGTACTCAATATTACCTTCTGCACATTCAGGAGGTAGATAGTTAATGCTATTAGAAGAATCGCTGCTGTTGTCAACCATTAATCCTCCTGTATCATCGTCAAATTCACAGTTACCCTCCAAGTGTCCACTAGAACAGTTAGAACTTTTATGGCCAAATAAGCCGATCAACGGATCCATTTTCGATTTCCAATGTTTATTTAAAATGGAAAGACAAAAATCTTTTATCCCCACTAATTACATAGAAACTTGAAATGGTAACACAAGTCAGAATTAGGAAAAAGTCAACACAAACAACTAAAGAATGAAGGAAAAATTATCTCAACAACTGTCACCAACAACCTTTTCTTGTTGCTTGTTTACAAAGCTGACTTCAGCTGTATAACTTGATATTATCTCTGATATCAGCAGTTCATAATAATCCCTATAGAGGTCAGGTAACTCAGTAATCAATTGATTAATGCAATTTGATTGTTCAATTGAATGAAATCTCTTGAAATAAAGGTTGATAGCAACATGATGGCATGATAAGTATCTTCGTTCGATAACTAAACTGGACAGGTTTATTTGCAGTACTTTTCATTCCTTTCTTTCCAACCATTAACAAAGAAACAAACTAAATTCATATTTATGACTATTTTCAATGATGACATGGAAAAAATAATTTCATCATCTTTATCAAATCCTCCTCTTACCATCATAATGTTTAAACTTTAATTAGATTTGACAAAAATTAACTCCATTACATAAATGGTTAACTAATCATCAATTTATTTCAACTGTTGATTGAAAAATTGAAAACTGCGGTAGAACGGTAAGTATTGCCATCTATAAGCAAAACATGAAATGTTGGTGAGAGAGAGAAGATGCTGGGAGAGAGAAAAAAGAGAGAAACTTGGTTTGGTTTCTTTTTCAGTCACTTCAGTTACCCTATCTCTTGCCCAGTTTCTTTATTTTGGAAAGAGATAGAAAAATTATCTTTCTCTCTCCCTTTCGTTATGTACTTTCTGCCATCAACGAGTTTTCAAGTTATTGATGACAATTTTACTTCTGTGGTAGCTCAACAAAAACCTTTGCAGCCAAACAATGCACCTCAAGGGATGGTCATGGTTAACCCACCGCCCCAGGCTGCACCTAATCAAACTGCAATTCCTCAGTTAGAAGGTAATGTCCAAGGTAATTAGTTATAATTTTGAATTTTTATTTAATTTTATTGCAATTACTTTAGTAGCAGAGCTACAGGAAAGCCCCTATACGATTGAGGAACTAGCTGCTGATCCTGCTTTCTCTTCAGCGGCCTTATGTTTCTATCAAGCTGACCGAATGGTTATTTTGGAAACCCAAAATCCAAATAAAAGTCAACAAGAGTTGGTCACGATGGCAATTCATGAATGGCATAGCAAACTAACGACCAGTCAAAAAGCGAAATATCTCAGGATAGCCGAACGTATGGGCCTTACAAGCGTATGTAGAGCACCTCCTGGGACCCATGGACAAGGAAATCTGTTGTCAATGTCATCATATGTCAACTCAGGGCCTCCACCACCTTATGGTGCTGGTCCTATGTGTTTAGAAGAGATGTTGAAAAGAGAACCCAAAAAACCTCCCAAAAATGGTTATTCATTATTCACGTCAGAACAACTAGCCAAATACGTAAACGTTGAACCCCAAAAACGTCTGGCTGAAGTCGCTCGGATTTGGAGGGAGAACATCTCTCAAGAAGAAAAAGAACAATATGACGCCAGGAACAAAGTTCTTTTAGCACAATATCAGAGACAATTGGGAAATTTCATTGATGTAAGTAATCCTTAAAATTGAATGATAACATATTGTTATCTCAATTTTTTTTCATTCCCTTCTGATTTCATCCAATTCAAGTGAAGGTTGTTTTGATTTGAAGACAATTGCTTGCTTACCCTATTTTCATGTTAGGCCATCAGGTTAACTGCTTTTTTTGTTTTTATTTTGTATTCCACACTTTTCTCTTACCTATCAACTTTAGACCTTGACTCCCGAAGAAAGATATATTTATGAGGATTATTGTCGCAAGAGAAACAAATACAAACACCACAAGAAAAAGTACAAGGGTGATGATGGCCTGGAACCTAAAAAGAAGGGAAAAAAGAAGAAGGATACAGTTCAACAACAAGTACTGCACCAATGAAATCAATTTGTTCCAATTATGATTTTTCATCTTTAATCCAGTCGAATCACATTCTCGCTTTATCACATTAAAAAAACCTCGTTTTGTCCTATCTCTTTACCTATCCTTTTCATCTTTAAAATAAAGTAATGAAACTTGGGTTATTTTGATTCGTATTAATGTTTTGTGTATTTAGCCAATCATTGTATCATCATCATCCTGCTTCTCTCATTGTCATCGCACTTTCACCAGCAACACCAGTAACACCATCGACATCATTTTCATCAATCATCATAAAAATGAAAAAGAAAGATTATTACAAATCTATATTACACTCTAATCGACAACTTCAACTACACAACCAACAACAAAAAAAAACAATATTGACCTTTCTTTTTCTTTTGTGAATCTAAAAAATAATTTTAACTAAACAATGATTTCTCTGATTTTGTCGAATCAATTTTTGTCATGAAAATTCTTTGGCTGAAAACAGAAAGATGAACGTTGAAAAAAGAGAGAAAAAAGAAAGATAATTTGGAAAGCAGAGAAATGGAGAAGAGCAGCAAAAGAAAGAATAGAACAAGGTTTGCTGTTTTTCCCATCTTTCTTTCCCTCTTCTTTCCTTTTCTTCTTTCATTTCCCAAGGAAAGAAGACAAACAAGAAACAAGTCAGTAGACGAAGCGTAAGTAAAGTAAGTAAGTAGAGAAAGAGAAGAGAGGAAAAATGGAAAAAATGGAAGGATGATGAGAAAGAGAGAGAGAGAGAGAGAGAGAGAGAGAGATGATAGAGGAGAGAGGAGAGAGGAGAGAGGAGAGAAGGGGAAAAGGGAAAAGGGGGAAAAAGCTATATTTGAAGTGAATGATGATGACGGCCAAATTTTGATTCTGATGTGAGTTTGCTTTGCTCAGTTGAAATATCGATCCACAGTTAGGTAAACGAATCCACAGCAGAGATGATAGTGGTGATGAAGAAAAGAGTTAACGAAAGATCAATCAAGATCCAAGAAACGTTCGCACTTTGTATAGATTAAATAAAAATCCCTCTAATGGGAGAAACAAAAATTTTAACAAGCAAAATCAAATGAATGGTAATAGACAATGACATTAGTCATTAATAAATCAACAATTTGAAGCAAACTCACCTTTAAAGACTTTAATTTATGAGAAAAAAAATTACATAATTTTCATTTTTGCATTTATTCAATGTCTTTCTGTAAACACATAGATAACTCATAGATGCATTCATTCAATTCATTCCGTCCGTCATTAAATCCCTCTAGCGAGCAAGAAGAAGAGTGAAGGAAGAAGACATTAGAAAGATTCCCTGAAAAAAAGATTCAATGAAATAAGAAAGGAAGGAAAAGAAAAAACTGAAATTCTGATCAAGAAAAAAACAAAAATAAGACTCAAAAGAAGCAGAGGAAGAAAGGGAAGAAAAAAGAGGGGAACGGAGGGGAAAGAACAAGGGGGATATTAGTCAACTATAATGGGGAAGAGCTACAAGAGTGAATCATTTTTGCTAGAAAATTGTTGAGAGAAAGGAAATGGGTTTCTCTTTTGATTTGCTCTTTCTTTTATAACATTTTGACGAATAAAAATTTGAATCAAATTCCGTTTTTTTTTGTCATTATTTTTTGTGCTTTTACTGAAAATGTTTAGTATTGAACAAGTTTATGTCTAATGAAGGTAAAAACCAGTTACTGTCCATACCATTAAAAATGAAAATAACCAGTCTTGATAATCAATTTTGCTTCTCAATTTGATTTCAAGAGTCTTACAAACAATAATCCATTGATACGATTGACAACTCTGTTAATCACCAGTTCAACAAAATCCATAATGCTCAACTTAAATCCTTACCAATAATACATTTATTTAACAGTATAAAATGATGATTAAAAATGACAAAAGCCTATTAGTAGAGTAAACGTAATGAAGTTAATATTTTGTCAGCCTTTGGGTCCAATTGACAATCCTGTTGACCTTCATAACAATGTATCTATGAGACCATTAAATGAATAACAATACTGGATGGTGAATTGTTAACACACATAAACAGCATTTATAATTGACAATCAATAAAACAATCCATCAGAATAATATTTCAAGTAAAGTCTGGATCATTAAAACAATTGGATTTACTTGATCCCCAATTTTATTTCAATTTGATCATTTTGTTTTACATTTGTAAACCAAAAATCACCATTGATCCGTATGCTTTCCTGGTTTACCTTATGTTTCTGGTTTCAAGTCTCTCTCTTTTTAATTAGATTACCATGATTTACATCATTGTAATTATCATCTTTTCATAATGGTAATGATTGGTGAATGATTGAACAACATTAAATGGATTGGTGACAATCATTATTTATTTAGATTGTAAAGTATTTTATGTATTTTAGGCTCTCAACAGTCTCACTGTTATTCCAATATACAGCAGGAAAAATGGTTTGTAACATGAGTTACTGTGTTAGAGTGTTGATCCTGCTGGTAATTGGATAATTTTAAATTACTATTAATTCAATTCACTATGACAGTAATTAATGCAGTTAATTGTTAAATCACTATACTATTAAACCATGGATTGAACTAGAGAAAGTAGAGAGAAACCAAAAAGAGAAGCAGCAGCAACACAAAGAACCAGAAAAAAAGCAAAACAGGCCAAGCCAAAGGAAAGCTTAAGTGAACCAGACAGATAGCTAATGAAATGGGCTCAGACTTATGTTGGGTAAAACAGTGCTACTAGACTATGAGACGATCTCAATGCGATCTTGAATCCCTGGTTATTGATAATTCAATCATTACAATCAATCTAAAACCTATTAAGCCTTCAGCTATTACATGAGGTTGTTGATATCTTGTTTACCTTATGCAATGCTGTTTCATCCAATACCCGATTTAATATTAATATTGATAAAATGGTCAGCTGTAATGAAAATATTCAATGAATCACCTGAATAGGAAACATTTTAAGATCTCTATTGAGATTAATAAATGAATGAAATAAATGTGGAACAATCTCAGGCCTCAATCTGATACTCTATTTCAATTTGTAAACATTTTCAAGACTGTCTGGTATTCAATGGTTACTTGCTCTCATCTAATCATGATATCAGTGAAGGCCATGCGATTGTTACACTACTAAAATATGATTCTAATAATAATGATGATTACAATTAACAGGAAAAAGGAGAATATTAAACATGTTTCAAATGATTCAAATGATGGATTCAACATTGAATGGTTGATAAAACCACAAAACGTATCATTTTACTTTGACTTGTTTCACTCAATCACTCAATTTTGCATTTATAATCTTTGCCAACTGTTACTGAATCGTTAATTATCAGCTAATCGTCGTATGATTTGGTATACAAACAATCATTGATAATTAGTCGGATATGCAGTTTGAAATGACTAACACTGATTTTATCGATTGGCTAAAAAAGCGGTTCAATAATTATGCTTTTTGATTAGGTGCAAAAAGAGCAAATATTGATTAATTATTAACATAAAATAAATTTTACCATTTTAATTTATCATTACAAATATAATTACGGTCAGAGGCCAAAATTTTCTGGTTTACCTAATGCATAGCTTCGATACTGGACAAGCTGGACTATTGCCTAGAAACGTCTAACTTTGAGTCTGACTATTCATTTAATCTCAAACGATAAGCTTCTTTAGTGATGTATTATTAAGACCTGCTAATAGGATTTTAAAAATATTGATGCCAATGCAGGTGGTTAAATAGAGATTCATTGAAAAATCTAATTCTACAGTTGATCAGCATTTACTGGTAATATCTAAGGTAAAAGCTCAGCGATCTTTTATACGGTAAAAGGTTGTCTCAAGTCATTTCATAATTTATAACATAACAGTGATGAATATGTGAGTTTTAATTGAAATATTGAACTTCCTCATATCATGAAACAAAATGGAGGAATGTCCTCTCGTGAGAGATTCTGTAACATTGAATTGGACATCACCATTTGAATGTGCCAAATTAAAAGCTATCAGGTATTGTATCAATATTATAAGAACTGATGGATTAGTTGAGTATCAAAATCAATGCTGTAAAGAAAATAAGATTTATGATGAGATGAAACTTGATTCGTACATGATAACAACTATTAGGACTGTTTTGTAAGATGAGATTCATACATGTAAGTATAAAAATAAATTATAACTGAAAGTCTTATAAAAATTTCTCTAGACATTTTACAATATCATCAATATTTGGTCTATCCTTTTTATCATATTCAGTTGATTGTCGAGACAATTTCATCATTTCCACAGCAAATTTCAAATCCCAATTGCCAGCTTTTGGATCAACAAATGATTTTATCATTTCTTCCGTAATATCATCATTAGAATCAATATCCATTACTGATTGACTCCATGAAAGTATATCACCACCTTCACGATTCTCGTCAAATGGAGATAGTCCAGTCAATAATTCCAATAAAACAATACCAAATGAATAAATATCCATTTTCGGTGTTAGTTGTCCTCTAAATGATTCTGGTGCCATGTAAATTGAAGTTCCAATGATTGTTGATGTAAAATTAACAGATGTTGGTGATGAAGATGTCTTATTTGAATAGTTGATTCTTGTGAGGCCGAAATCTCCTATTTTAGGAGTCCAATCATAATCTAACAAGATGTTTGCACTTTTTATGTCTCTATGAATACAGGAATTAGCATGAAGATGACTTAAACCACGAGCTGAACCGATTGCTATTTGTTTACGCACATACCAAGGGATCGGTTGACTACCTTGTAAACAAATTATCCTATCAGCCAGTGAACCATTTGCCATAAATTCATAAACAAGACATAAATTAATACCTTCGCAAGCAATTCCAAGAAGACATAATAGATTTTTATGGTTAAATCGGGTTAATACGTCAAGTTCACTAATAAATTGTTTGCCATATTCATCTTTAACATATTTGACAGCAATTTGTTTACCATTAGTGTCTCGAGCGAGATAAACAACTCCATAGCCACCTTCACCTAATTTAAATCCACCTTCGTTCAATGGTTTGGATGAAAAGTTATTGGTACTTGAGGCTAATTGGTTAAATGAATATCGTTTGATTCCCAAATCACGTTCTAACATTAATTTTACTTGTGTATTTAGCGAATTGTCATCCAAACTGAGAGAGGTAACATCCGGAGCATTCGGTACATGATTTATTTCCTTTCTGTCTGCCTGTAAATCAGCCGATTCCTGTAAATAAAAAGAAAATCATTGAAATACAATTTACATAATAAACAACTAATAATTTTTCAAGTATTAATAACCTTTTCTGGTGTACTCTGGTAATCATTGTGATTATTTATTTTTAGGTTGTTTGTTTCGGCTTCTAGGTTTAATGTTGTCACTCTCTCATTCAACTCGTCACAGTTGACATTTGATTTTGAACTGAAAATTGCGTCCATGTCGCATGTATCTTCTCTGATAACAGGTCCACCATTTAATAACCGTACTGACACAAAGTCTGCTGCTTGGTATAATTTACAGGCAATCAAATATTTCAATAAATCCTTGATTGTCGGTCTTTTCCTGCCATACGTTCCCCAGTAATCAAGAAGAGCCCGAGTAGGTGATCCATTAATTTGATTCTTATGATTCTCCAATAACTGTATCATTTTACTTGTCAGCAAGTAACCATCTTCTAGATCAGGTTTCGGTAAAATAGATGCCAATTGTCTCCAATGATCACCGGAGTCCAACATTTCAATTAAACATCGACGATCACAAGGTCGAAGATGCCTGATTTCTGTATTTACGTTCATCATTATAAATCTTAATTTGCAATATAAACGGTGAGCTAAAAATAAGCAAAGAGAAACAAGATTAATCAATTCAGAAGTAATTTTTTGACAATATTACGGTTAGGAAATGAGTTATTGTCATACTTACGGAAGATAATCAAAGTAAAACGTTGTGTTAAAAATCAATTCGTAAAATAATCATTTCCATGATTTAAACATCACAATACAAACTTTCTTGAATTTCAATAAACTGAGTTAAATTTGACAACACTAATTCACATCTGAATTCACTAAAATAAAAACAAATAAAAAAATTCCTGAAAAATGAGGAAAACAAAAACAAAACAAAATAAACTGGTTTATTATTTATCAACAGCCAATCAATATGAAACGCGGTTAATTTGTTCTTAGAACTCAGCAGTTAAGTTTAGATTAATGCAATTAAAAGAGAGGAAAGTCTTCTCGAATCAACAAATTTTGGAAGAGATGCACATTAAAGGTAAAGAATAATCTGTGTTTGAAATTGAATACTTGGATCGGTCAAGTCAGATGATTAGGAATATCAGATCATTATTAAATTTTCATCCAACACTGAGAAAACTAAGCGAGATGATGTCAGAAATTTCAATCCAAAACCAATACACAGGTTTTAAGAAAATAATTTTACAGGATTTGTGGTGGATTAGCAAAGATCGTGGATTAAAAAAGAGTCAATGTGAATTTAAATTCAGATTGAAAGACAAATAAGTTACAATGTATTAACAATAAACGTCTCGGATGAAGAGCAGAACTTTGACTGGGATTAAATTTATTTAATTTCACGAAAATCACTAATTACAAATTTTTTTTGCCGTTTAATGTAGCTCTTCATAAGCTCCTCTACTAACTAGATTTTTATATTCAGGCTCAAAGTTGAGGTTATCTTTATAATGTTGAACTGGAACTTGAGGATATTTTCTCTGAAGATAATCAAGATCGATACTCGGAAACCTTCTCAGGAGATTTCTCACAGTATAATGTTGTCTTTTTAGTTTAGAATATTCTGCATTTCTTCTTCTTTCTTTCCAAGCACGTATAAATTCATTAACATCTTTTCCATGTCCAGGTCCAAAAACAGTCCTCCAGTTTTTGCTAACTTTGTATGGCAAGAAATGTTCATAAATTGGTTGCCTGTGAAAAAAAGATAAATGATAAACGTAATTTAGTTGTGAATGGCAAATTGAACATTGTGTTTAAAAAATAAGCATACCATCGCCATCGACCGAATTGATCCATTCTAAAGGCCATAGATCGCTCAGCTGTTGCATCCTCTGAAACCTCTAATTTAAAATAAGCTGCATTTCTTTCGCGAACTATTTTCTCCAAGTTTTCCATTGACTCTTCTACTTTATCTATTCTCTCTTCATTCGGAAAAGCACGACATTCAGATTTGTGGGCTTCTTGCATAGTCAAAAGCATGTTTTTCTCCTTGTACAAAACGAACCAAAGTTTATGTAGATCACTATTACTTTTTACTCGTAACTCTTCAACACGCCATGCCCGACCTGAATAGAGTAAATAGATATTACTATAAAGTTTCCAAATCAGACAAATAAGACTTACCAACTCTTACAATTTGTTCCCCCCAGTTGTCAGGTGAATCAAAAAATTCATATAGTCCAGTTGTATCTGGTTCAGACGTGCGAGTTGCTGGTTCAGAGACTGGAGTTGTTGATGTTGTTGCTAGAGGTTTTTCCTCGTGAGTAACAGAGTAAGCTCTTTTATGAACCACTTGCAGACAATTGATGGTCCTTAAATTTAGGAATTGGCGAACTAACGAATTCATAACTGGCAGAAGTTTACGAACAATTAATCAAATTTGGCAGCATATGATGTGATATGATTAAAACAGCATGAGAATGATAGTAAATTGTTTACTTTAATTCATTTCACTCCATGATGTTTCAAGATACCAATATCTAAACAGAAAATACTCGATACAAGACACAAATCCATTGGATTTGATCCAAGCAGATTTGGAGAACGATTAAAACCGGCCGTCATATAATCATCATTTTAAGCTTTAGATTCAATTTTAATAGATTAAACTGATTGGATGTAAATCTAAACGTCCAATGTTAAGTCCCACTTTAGTCCGTAAAACCTTACTCTTACCCAAAAGTTCATGTAGCTAAGATTTAAAAACTGCGCGAACTCTAGATTTTAACCAGAATGTTTGATTATAGTTTCATAGATGGCGCATTAAAACGACCTCTATTTGTGTTTTTAAAAGAGACATATTTACCAACCGATTAACTTTAACCAGATTTATTCATCTAAATTGTTTGATTATTGTATATTTACAACAGTTAATCATGAATTCAATAGTGAGACAATTCATTAATCCAAGGACTGTCAAAGGCCTCCAAGTGATTCAAAAAAGAGCTTATTCCTACCCTTATGAAAACAAATTTTTGGTAACTCCACCGAGGACACCAATATCTGTGGCAGAAAGATGTGCTTGGTTTTCTTTACTTTTTATCTCTGTCACCTCTGTACCTGCTTGGGTTCTTTACCATCTTCGACTTTACCGAAATCAAACATATGACGATTGGATTCAATACCAAAACAGATGGGTCAAAAGTTAAGCTGTGGGTATATACGGGATGGAAAGTGTTGTCACATTTTATATGTTTAATATGATGCAAACGTTTCTATCAAAATAATTTTGGAGCTGATAAAAAAGATAATAAGGGACCAATTCTTATTTTAATATACCATAGTTAATTAATATTATGATCAATTACTAGTTAAGCAAGTCGTTGGTTTACCATAAAACTAACGTTTTCAGATGATGGAGCAATCCCACTTATGTCGGATCAATCGTTTCTTTTGATTACGCAAAACTAATAAATTTATTGTATGAATTGATCATTCCTTTTCATTCTTGTGTTTATCAATTTATTTGCTTTCGACCAATTTTTCGCGTTCCTCGTGTTCAATATATATTCAATATTTTAGGATAACTCCATTAAACTACGAACAAACGGATTGTTTATTAATTAACTTGTAAGAGCATTGAGTATTTTGTGTATATTTTATATAAAGAATCAACGCATCGCAATATAAGTTGGCTGCAAATGTTTTTGTTTTTTAATGCGTAATTTTTAGACCTTGGGTATCAATTTATTTAGCTGGTGAATGAGTTTAGTGATTGAGGTACAAACTGCGAGTATGGATAAACTTTAATCAATATTGGCAATTTCCAACAACAATCGCTAAACGATTTAAAAACAATTTATAGCAATTTTTAGCAATAGCTTCAAATTGAATTAATATAAGATTAGGGAATTGTTTAAAAATGTTGATAGCTATAAAATATGAAATCAAAGACAATATAATAAAAGGTTAAATTTACATTTACATCAATAAAAAATTGGGAGAGCATAAAAACAAATTAAATTATCATTAGGTTTAGTGGGTTAGGATCATTGGCCGTACGAAATGATCAGAAATTGAATTATAAGTATGATGAGAGTTTGTTTATGGGGTAAAAAGAAGAATACAACTTGAATTGTAACTTTCTTTGATGATAAACCATCCATAACAGATTTTAATTGCAGTAAAATCACCCGGAAAGATGATCATTGTGATTGTACACAGATGAAGAACAGATTACAGAAAGTTACAGAGGAACGTATTTGGTAATACAAAGTCTGTGACAAACTTATCACAGATAATATTAAATAAAAGATGGAAAATTCAGCTGAAGCTTCTTTAAGAAAAGCAGGTTGATGATATGAAGAGTAGAAGGGAATTAAAGAGACTAGAAAAACGATGAAAAATCATTGTAACAATCCACGATAGCAAAAATGTGAAAAGTTGATATAAATGGTGCAAAAACGTATGACCCATTACAATGATGAAAAATTTTTGAGATCTAATTGTGAACTAAACTCTCGTCTTCTACTTCTGTAATCCTTTTTTCAATTGAACTCTAGAGTCAGGATTTTTTTGACTAAACTGATTGTTTTGAATGAATAATCATTCCTTTAATCTTTCATAAAAAAGCATGTAAGCTGGTTTGGAAAGAACCTCCGTCAAGTGTGCAGGTCGAACAACAGTGTCTGATGTGAGATACCATTGCCCTTCTCTTCCTGTACTGCGTCTATACGTAACAAAATGGCCTGATTGAGAATCGCCAATATGGACAATGGTAGCAACTAAACGATAACGGTATTTAGAATGATTCGATCCGAGTGGCCTTTTGGCATTTTGTCCCAGTAAAATATTTTGACAAAGTGGTGACGATGTTTGTGGATAAGGAGTCACGTAAGAACCTAAAAATGCACCTCCAATGTGGTCGAGATTATTCTTTTTAGGACTTTTTAGTGTTCGTCTTTGGTAAACGTAGTCATCCATTGTAAGATATTCAGGAAATGTCACATGGTCTGATTTTTTGATTGTTATGCCATTGGGATGCCACATTAATCGATGAAAATGGATACATAGTATCTGTGGCAGTTTGGCAAAGGTTAATCGTTTCACGAAATTAGGATTTTCACCAATTTTACTACACTCTTCACATCTGACATTTTGAATGATCTCATTGCTGACAAATTTGTTGAGGCACTCCTTGAGACTTGATATGCCTGTCATTAAAGAGTTTGGCATTGCCAAAGAAACTGAATAGAAACCTTCCAAGTGAACTGGATACTTGTAGCCACATTGAGTACATTGTAACTGACTAGCAAGCAATCCTTTAGTAGGTAGAGGACGAGGAATAAATCTATTATTCAATGTAAATGCATCTTGAGATCCACGAGTAGTTATCCGAGGCGTTGATTTGTTTGTAAAGCCATTAGTGACCAGTTCCTATAAAGTGAAGCGTGAAGGAAAATAATCTATTAACAAGGTGACAATAACAATAAACAATGGTATATTCAAATTATAAATTATTTAAATAAATTCATCTCAAAACTATTATTTACACAACGACGACTGCTCATAGTTTAGTATCACATTATCCGAGAATCACCTCATGGTAAGACTTCGAGTCAACATCATCCGATCTATTACTTGTTTTGTGAACTAAATCTTGGCATTATAAACATTGGCAAATGAACAAACCTATTATTTTTTATCTTTACTTATGTCAAATTGTGCATTACGGATTCAAGTGTTTGGCTTCTCATAGTAATTGTTTAGGACTCTGGTACAACCTTACCGGATATTGCTTTAAGCAAAGAAAATGAACACACTCATGGTAAACAGACAATAGTTGTAACCTACCTCAACTATAATTGCGTCTCTTAAAGAGTAAACAGGCATGGATGAGTAAAGCTCACTTTCCAAAGTAGTAGTAAGAGCGTTGAACAATTCATGAGCATCCTAAACAATAAATAAAAGCATAATTATGGTTAGAAATCAATAGATAAAAAACGTTTACAAAGCTTCTCAATACCATGAGTACAGGTTTTTCGTGATAACTCAAGCTGAGAGCTCTAGAATGGTTGATCATGTGATCAAAACAATTGAGGTTAAAATGTTAAAATTACTGGCAATTTACCTGTTCTTCATTAGGTATTCTCCATCGGTGATACCTCAACGCATTTAAAACATCAATAGGTGAAGCGTTTTGACTATTTTGTTGATTAATACCTGTAAACAGAAGACAATGAGTAAAAAGATTTATGGCACCGAATATTCGTCAATAAAGGAAGTAATCTTACTTTGGATGGTTGAGAGTAATGATGAAGTTAATTTGTTTTCTTTGGTGTAACCATTTGTACTATGAATAGCGTGTAACCGAGTCAACCATTGATCATTCAATTTTGATGAGTATTGAAGCCAGTTTACAATTGATTTGCAACCAGCGAGTGATTGTAACACAGCATTAACAAAACATTGGCTTCCGAAGTTGATTAATCCAGTGATACCTTGATCAAGCATCATTTAAAAAAAGCAAATTGAACACAGTTGAATATAAAAACAAAGGAAGGTGACACTCAAACAAATGGAGAAACCCAGATGAACCTAGAAAAAGGAAGAAACAGAGAGTGAGAGTCTCAGGGGTCACCAAAGGCTTTGGTTTACACTAAAACAGTCAGAAAGAGTCTCCAGTTATCTCCTTAAACAAATGGATTAAATTCACATTCAATTGAATAATATAAATGTGGAATTGAGTAGAACAATATTGTAATTAAATCCATAAATTCACAACAAAAAGTTAAAAGTAATGTTCACTAAACAAGAGTAAGCCTGCTTTCTGGTTGTCTGGAAGCTTAAAGAGTAAAGTGTTGTTGTTGAAACTGGTGATGAAAATTGCAGTCAATCAAGATGAAGGGAAATGCTGTATCCAAGGCAGTCTCACATCATCACTATAAACATCATGCGAGTCAACATGTTTATCTCATCATTCTCATGCTATTTTCATTTCTCTTTCAAAACATAAACATCATATGGTAATCACAATCTTAAGATTGCTTCATCTTACTCACAATTTAATGAAAATCTAAGGTATTAGCTAAACTCCATGACAAGACAGATATTGGATAATTGTTTGATAAAAGTATTACAATCAGATTATTTTATTAACTCATACAATTGGGAGTTCAACGATTCATTACAATGTATTATAAGAATAAACTTACGGAAGTTGAATATCTTTGTCTCTATTCAATTACCTACAAGAAATTATTAAAAAATATTTTAAAGTCAAATGTTAACCCAAATTAAACAGTGAACAAAAAAAGCTCTTCATTCAGTGAATTAGTTAACTGTCCTTAACTGTTCAGTTGACTGATCTCAAATGCTTTATTGTTAATACTTCCATCATCATAGCCATCATCACAATTACCCTTTATTAATAATCACTAAACTTGAACGTTAAAATTCAATTTAAAGCAACCAATTGAACAATCCAATTTGACCATTAAAAAGGCTATAATTTAAATAACACGAATATTAATGTTGAAAATTGACAATCAAAAGAAATTACAATTACTGTCTAAAATTATAAGCTATCATTAAATTGTTTGTTCAAATGTAGACTCAAGTAAAGTTGATTAATGAACCAATCTTTGATTAACATAATTTAGACGATGATTTAATGAAAACAAAGCATTTGAGTTGATAACTGGTAAATTATTGGATGAAGAAAAACGTTGAATCAAATTGAACAAGATTTTCCCGTAAATACTATTGAAAAACACCTGAAATTTACAAATTTTAGTTACTCAGTTTCATAGTAATTAAGGTTTTATATTTAGCTTAGCTTTTGAAACGGCAAATTGTTATCAAAAACAGATTAACATTTTCAAGGTAAATCACAAAATTAAAGCTGATCAATTGTTTCCAAGCAATCAGTTGAAGAAAAATTTGGACGCAAAAAGCTAACAATTTTTTAAGCCATTTTAATCGGTCAACAAAAATTGAAGCAATTTCAACCTTTCAATTGTCAATCACATATCAATGAACAATTCAACGACATTTCAACAACAAGTTTCAACTGAACATTTCATAATTCATTCAGATAACCTAAAAAACCAGATTAAAGCTCAAAGATTATCAGTTATGTTATGAGTTATAAAGGTAAAAAACCAGCAAAAAATAAGTGTATAAAAAGTCCGAGAAGAAGCAATATTAGTTCACAATTAGGTTAACAACCAGAAAATTAAGTGACAAGAAATAGATTAAGCTTTAAATTCATAACTGGATCAAAATAAACCGTCAAGAATATCTAAATGTTGAGACAAATTGGATTCTCAAAATTCTTGATTGGAAATATAAATATTGAAAATCAATTGAATCATTAATTTAATCAATGGTTAAAATTCAATGAAGGTTAGCTTATTAACATAGGATTAAGATTCACCTGTTTCCTTTCAATCAATTAACAATTACATTAAATTGTATTTATAAACACACCTTACTGATGATCATCATCAAGATTGAATAGTTTAACCAGAATTATCAATGAGTATTGGTGATGATGATGATCATGGTAAGATTAGTGAACAATTAGAATAATAATAATAGTGGATGATTTAATTAAAGCTTCACAATAATTGTATTGTTAGATTAAGAGACAAAAAAGGTAGAAGTAAAAATTCCTTGAAATAAATGTAAAGGTAAGATGAAAAGAGGTAGAAATAATTAACATTAATAAAGTTAAATACATTTTGTTTCCATGGACATCATGATAAACGTGATCAATGTTCATTGTTACGAGTAAAAGTAAAGTTAATATCAATGATAAAGATTCACCTGTCCATTGGTCAGAGAGTTTGAAAAGTGTTCAATGAAACAACAAAAAGGTGAGTTTAACGTTGAACAAAATAAACATCACAATGTTCATAATTGTATCTTGATCAGTATTTGTAGTCAAATCATTGCTCAGAATTGTTGGTTAATTTGTTCAATCAATTTCTGGTTAAATTGGGTTTTGTTTTGTTGTTGAGTCTCTTACTCAAGTGTTTTGGGTTAACCTGCATCCAACTTGAATCAGTGTCTCTGAGTTTTCCCTCAATCATCTTGATTATTCAGTGATCTCTTCAGTGTTTTTAGGTAATCAGATACTTCCGTTTTGACCTGAACTGAGACGACATAAAAAAAGCTTCAACAATTTGCTAAATCATCTAAAATTGATTGTTGCTTCAATTTTGCTGCAAACTCATTCTCAAATCTCTGTCCTTATTTCTTATACTCATCTTCATTCTTTCTCTTCCCTTTCTTTTCTCTCTTTTTTCTCTCATTTTTCCCCATCATCATCACTTCTCATCTTCATCATCATCTCGAATCTCTCTTTCTGTGGTTTTTGATACAACGCATGGACTTAATTCTGGATCAATAAAATTTAGGTTTGGCAAGTGCTAAAGCTGAAACTGATCTCATTTTTGATTGTTTGGTAAAAAATTTTCTTCTCTCTCTCTCCTTTTGTCATTCTAGTCATCTTAATTGTTAAATAACATATTTAACAATCATATCTAATGTCAGATAAACCAAAGGAACCAGTAAAACAACCAACGGATAAACCTAAAAATGGTTCCTCCATTGAAAGATCATCTAGAGGTGTTCAACGTTCAATAAGTCGAGGTTAGTATTTCAATCTTTTCAATGTTTACAGCACTATTTACATCATTTTTTACAATCCCATACATTCAGTGATACATATTATAATAGCAATTATTTCAATCTGCTTTTCACCTTCATCATTAACTTTTGAAATCAACAATCATTCTTTCAGGTTAATTCACTTTCCTTTTGTTATTATTTCATTTACAATCTGAGTGCTATTATTAGTCACCGTAATTACCCTTTGACACCCAAATCGAGTCTATTTTTTTACCCTTTTTCATTTCTTTTCCTTTCATCATTTGAGGATGAAAAGATTCTTTATGAATCTTCAATTATCATATAAAATTGTGTATAATAATGATGACTGTTTATTCATTTGTGTCCTCTTTTGTCCAACAGATTCAACGGCCAAAAGTCGAGATCCATCAACTTGTACTTCACCTACAAAAGATTTGTCAAGAAGTAAGTAAATTATTCATCATGAATGTGATTTATTTTTAAATAATGTGAGTACTCGGATGAATGATACAGTTTTATCTTATAATTGTAACTTTTAAGCCTCAAAATTGAATTGATTTGTCCAATGCTTCTTGAATTGGTTATTGAAATATATTCGTTATCTTAGTTACTTTTGCTGTTACTATTGAATTGACTGCGATATCAAATTTTTAAGGTTCTGGTGCTTAGATTCATTAGCAAGTCATTAACTGAACATGTTATTGGACTAGAAACATTGCCAAAACTCTAGTTCATCAACCTAGTTTTTATTTACATTTTGATCCATTTTTTGATTCTAGTGGAGTTTGTTTAATTTTTAACAGATGTTTTAAAAAACCGATTAATTAGATGTCGGTTATTAATAAGCATATTGAGCTTCAACTTGTTCAATGTCAATTAAATACGACCCCTTAAAGTAAACATTGAACCCAATCATCAATATTACTGTTCTGTTTGATTTCGTGTATATTGAATAAATAATCATTCAACAGGTCAACTTTAACCATACATATGTATAAATTCAATATCCAATAACATACCTAAACCCATTTAATAGACCTATCATTATCGACGAAAAAATATTTGATTCTCAATTGTTGCTACCTAAACAAAAAAACAGTTGACTTGCTCTCTAGTGACATAATGGTAACTTTCAATGTTAAGACTATCGATCTGCATTGAAAATATTACATATTAGTTTAACTCTTTATAATTGTGTATTTACAGAATTGCCTCCAATCAAAGCTCCTGTTGGCCTAGCAAAGGGACCTGATCTGAAAAATGTGCGATCAAAAATTGGATCCCTACAAAATGTTAAACACAGACCATGTAAGATTTTAGCTTATGTTGTCATTAAGGACTCATTAACTGACGTTGATGTCTTTTGTTTTGATTAGCTCAAGGTGAGAAAAAGGTAATCACACAGAAATTGGAATGGCAGGCCAAACCTAGAATTGGATCACTCGATTACGTCAAGCATAAACCAGGTAAGAATACAGAATTAAATTGTAACCTCTTCTATTGGTATTGCTATAAATGATGTTGTGGTATCTTTTTTAGCTGGTGGTGAGGTGAAGATAGAGAATAAAAAATTGGAATGGAAAGCAAAGTCTAAAATTGGCTCCTTAGACAATGTCAAGCATAAGCCAGGAGGTGGTCAGGTTAACATATTTGATGAAAAATATGCTAGGTCTTCAACTGGAGGTCGATCGCCAAGTGATGGTCGCTCTATAAGTCCAAGCTCAACAGCTAATTCAATTAAATCAACTTGTAACACTCCAACTGGTGGCAGATCTCCTTTACCATCGTCATCCTCGAAAGATGGCAAAGAAAACAAACAAAGTGGATCAAGTGAAAAACCAACAAATGCCAAAATCGATATTAAGAGTAACAGCAACGACAATTCCAAGGAAACCAAAGCTACGGACTCAAGCCTTGATTCAAAATCTGGTAGCGTTAAAGCAGACGAAAATAACAATAATGCTAAGCCCACTTCACGTCCAAATAGTTTAACACCTTCTACACAGTCCGTTAAAGGTTGATTATTTCAGGCTTTTGCTGGTACCAATCATCGTCAAATCGACGTCACAGATACCTATTGAAATAAAAACAGGTCAACTTTAATCTGGTTCAAGAGATCTGGTTATACCTGGAACAAAGCTATGACTTAACTCACCTGCTGTTGGTCCGATTATTTTTTATCAAGATCTTATTTAATTTTATTTTCTTTCATTTTGTCCATTTATTGATTCACACTACTAAAGTTCCATTAATCACAAGATTTGTTTAAGCTTCATGGTAATGCCATGTTAATGGATTCAAACAAGAAAACTAAATATCCTATGATTCTTATCATGAAAATTTTGATTTCATTATTTTAAAGGGTTCACTAATAACGTTTTGATTCAGGAGGAAAAAGTCAGTGCATGAGTTAGTTGATTTTTGTATTTTTTTTTGGAAACCAATTCACGAGTCTATCGGTTATCAAAATTTGCTTTTCATGTAATCCTAAATTTAAAAATCAAACTTAATGGTTATAAATCGGAAGAAAATATAACAAAATCTAAAATTAAAACTGAAAACTGAAAATATAAACACTTAAAATGTGGCAAAATAACGAAAAAAAGCTCATCAAAAATATAAGATTCAGCATAAAAGATATAACCCTAAAAATATATATTGATTATGAAGGATGAAACTTCAGTTTTTTTGAAACAATTAAACTAAACTAAATTATTACCATTTGAATTGTTATAAAAAAATTATTCGAACAGCAAATGTTAACAATAAAGATACAGATCACAACTGTAAACACGACTCTTATTTCGATTTCAATTTTTTGCTACTTTTGAAATTAGACCTTTGATATGATGATTAATAAATTTCAGATTTTATCGATATTTTATCTTAAAAAGGTAATATCATGATAATTACTTACGAAAAGTGAAATGTTATTCAGTGGCAATCCTTACATAAGATGTAAAATGAAATCTAACGAAAACAAATCACGTTTGAAGCCATTTTAGAGTCCAGTTTTCTTGAATTGAAGATGAAAATGAATTAACAATTTTAAAATTTGATTTTACAAGAAAATGTGTGAATGAGAGATAAGAGAATGTGGTGTCACCTGGTGGCTGATCAGCCTTTGGAAATGCTATCTCATATGCTAGTGTTGCTGAAGCTGACAGTTCATCTGGAATTCAATTCAATTTGTCCCTCGTTTGTACAGTTTTTAATCATTATTTTATGATAAGTTCAATTTTAGTGTCCGTTCATTCACACCTTTACTTGTTTTGTTGTTTATCTAACATAAAATTTGGACATTGTCATAATGCCTGTAAGTATATCTATTCTCTCTTGTGCTCTTTATTTAAGAAAACCTATGATCTATCTTTTGTTTTGAAATGTTCATTACATCCTTTCACACCCATTTAGTTTTAATACAGTATTTATTACCTTATTTGTCTTTCTTTTTCAACAGGGTTATCATTCTAAGTTAGTTAGTCCAGCTCGGAAGATTGGTAATATTGCCTTTCTCACCTTTAAGACCAAAGTTCGTGGACCTATTACCACATTGAATCCGGAAGATTTGGTTGATAATGAGATGGACATTATTGATGAAGCTTTGCTCTATTTCAAGGCAAACGTTTTCTTCAAGCAATTTGAAATTCAAAGTGATTCCGATCGAGTTCTTATATACTTAACTCTCTTCATAACAGAGTGTTTGAAAAAATTGCAAAAGTGTACTAGCAAAGATCAAGCTTTACAAGAAGTTTATTCCTTAGCTGTTTCTAAGTTTGACATTCCTGGCGATGCCGCTTTTCCATTGAATTCTGTTTATTCAAGACCATCAACACTTGAAGAAGCTAATACAATGAGAGGTTATCTAAATCAAATAAGACAGGAAACTGGTCAAAGGCTGGTAGAAAGAGTTTTCGATAAAGAAACTAATAAACCTTCCAAATGGTGGATCTGTTTTGCGAAAAGAAAGTTCATGGACATCAGCCTTTCGGGAAGAGGCCAATAATTTTTTTATATCGAATCATCTTAGTCTGTTTACCGTTGTTTCGGTTGTTTTTTTCTAAAACCGCTCAAAATGTTTTTCGCAATAAGAAAAACCAATTTTCAAATTTATCTTAAATATTAAAATGATGATATAACACGAAAAATCCGATGAAATAAACCAATAAAAAACCATTTAACTTTATGTAACAGATATTTATTTTATCCACATGGACCTTATTAGTGGTAGCAAAGGTGTTTTCAGTGTTTATATTAGTTAATTTTAGAAGAAGAATCCTAATATCTTGCCTCCAAGATGTTTACGACGGGCTTCTTCGTGATCCATGATTCCTCCTGATGTTGTTAGTACGAAATAACCAAACTGACGAGAAGGTAAAAGGTTCCTCATGTAAGTTTCTATATTCCTTAATTCGACATCAAATCTTGGAGCTATAACACCACATTTATTTAACCTTCCAGTAAGGTTAACAACTATTTTACCAGCTCTGTGGTCGTCGACAATCTCGAATTCTCCAATGTAGCCATGTTTCATCATTACTTTAAGGAATTTGATTATTACCTTAGAAGAGGGTCTGATCAAGACTTGGCGTTTACCTCGTTTCTCAGCATTGTTGATGGACTTGAGTGCATCAGCTAAAACATTCATTCGAACCATGTTGAATTGTAAGAGTTAATGGTGGTCGTACACAAAATACACAAGTAGAAAATGATTTAATTAAATTAAATTCTAAATTACACGAAGTAAATTAACTTTTAACTGTTCATGTGTTTCTATTACAGCTTTGCTTGCCTATTGGGCATAAAATCTCACACAATTCATTTTCTTAGCTGCTGTGCCGACTTGATGGTTTTTTCCGTTTCCGGGTGTTGTCAAGGTAACGTGGAGAAACCATAAACAAAAATGCCGCTCACTTTGAAAATGATTCCTCAAGATGAAATTAATTATGGATTTTATCTTTACTAATGATTCATATTTAGAATGGTTTTCAGTAAATTATAACTTTTAAAATTCAAATAATTTAAAAAAATCCAAGCCTCACAATTAGATCCAGTTTGTCGTAATTAAATTGAACTTAAGTTAGCGAGCTGATCGAGTTTAAGATTTGAAATCAGCAGCCATTTTTGATGTTTTAAGAAATCTTAAATGTTTATCAAGTAAATATCTTTGCTAATTATATATTTGCGTAATATCTTGCAATTGATTGGATTTAAAGCTGCATTAATTAATAATTTTTTTAATTAAAATTGGCGATGATTTCGAAGGGGACCTTTAAATTAGCAAAATGTGTAATGAGGGAGCGTTTTCAAATCTCTTAAGGTCTTCAATATCATTTCATTGGTTATGATTTGTTTAATTGTATAAATTTAATTAATTTCATTTTTTATTCAATTTATTATTTATTATTTAAGCAATCCTGGATCTTTTTATCAGGCATCCCAGTCTTCCACAACCATCGTGAAGGTAAGTTAATAACGAATGATCATTTTGCTCTTTTTGCTTGTCACCAACAATATTTTATTGATTGGTTCTCGTCACTTGAATCATGCTTTCTCCATTGATGCCAATGCTTTTAATTGTGGCACAACCACTAGTATACCTAATTATCTTGTTCCTAAAATGATATTGAGCCCATGTTCAATGAATAAACTGTTAACCGTTGAATTATTATTTGTAGTTGTGATTCCATGATTGTAAAATTTTCTACTTCTATGGATATTTTCAGTCTATGAGTTGATCAAATCAATGTGGCACACTTGATAAATCAGTGACAGTTTTCCCACTAAAACTTATATGGTAATCATTTCAAATCACACCATTTATGATATTTTCCCATTTTTTTATCACCTAATTTTTCATTTGCTTTTGTTATGTTTACAATCCAACACTGTTATGTTAAAAGGCTTCAAGGTTCGAGTAAACATAAGCTTGAAAGATTTCATTTGGGCGAGTTCTTCTGAATTTATTAGTTGCAGCCATTCCTTTTGTTATCATAGATTTCTTAAATTCAGTCAAATTTTTCTGGAGTTGATTCAGCATCTTAGTTGTCATTGCCATGTTGGAATGTAGCTTCACTGGTTTAGCTCAAATGAGGCTCCACTTTAAACCTGGCTTCATTTAATTTAGTTTACATTCTCTATCGTAAAATCAACTCATTAGTTGCAGGTTTTATTGGACCATCTAACCTTGTTCCGATTCTTAATCATTCTTCATCTCCTTCTACTTTTGACACTAATTCTGCTCATCGAACCACTTTGCATGCAATAACTAACCATTATTTGCCGTTAAGTTTTGATTATAAAAGTTTTATCTGAATAATGACAAACTTAAATTTATCCTTTCATTTCCAATATTTCCCTGAAATACTTTTTTCTTTCCAGTAATCTATTGTAAGCAATTTCACTGTGTTACTATGTTACATCAATTATTGGTGTTTGTCCTATTCAATAACTCTTATTAACTTTCATTAAAATTTAAATTTGTGAAATAAGGAAATCTTTTGAAGCAAATTAGATTTATTTCCTTCTTTTCTTGTCTACAAATCTATAGATCATATTTTTGTGATAAAGTCAAGGTAAATCAACTTATTCAATATTCATTGAACGAGGTTTGAGTGTTTTTAGGAGACAATGAACGAGCACAAAATAATGACAATTGCTTAGTCGTGCTTTTATTTTCCTCATCATGTTATTTCTTACTTAAACAATTCCTACCATTTTAACATCAGTAGAGCAAATCATAGAAATTTTTATCGATTATTCTCAAGTTGCTACTCTAATTTGCTCAAACCAATACATCATCATTATTAACCGGTGTTTCGTCTTTTTATTTCAGGTCCAGTTGTGACTTTTGAAAATGCCCACAGAGAATACTTTGGTTGATCTTTTGGAATTTTTACGAAACCAATATGATTTCATTTGGTTAACTTTTCATGACTACAAGTGCAATCAATTCAAGAGATCATTGAAACGTAGTCCGGGACAGATAAGAGCAAATGTTTTCAACGAACCTCACATTCAGGTTGTTAATAATTTTAATTTCCACAAATTCCAGTCTACCAGTTGGTACAAAATTATGGTTAACATTTTTAATCTATTCAAAATTGAAAACGTTCATCATAATTTTGTGCCGCCTGATAGTCTTTGATTGATATTACAAAATAAACGATATTAAAATGTGTATTCACAATCTGAATCAATTGAATTTTATTTTATTTTAATTATTAATTTTTCTTATTAATATTTATAGGAACTCATTGAAAATGATCCCGGAACTAAAGAAAAGATTGATAAAATTATGGATGAAATGTCACATACATTTACTTTGCGATCCATCCGATTTATTGGTTATTTCGTTGTCAAAATCATGAAATCGATCTACCGCCATGCCTGGATTGAAAATAAAATCACCATAAGTCCGTCATCATTTTATTACGATCCAGTTGATCAATCTATTCCATCAACTATCAACCGTCTCGTCAATGAAGCTCCGGTCATTTACCTGCCGACCCATCGAAGTTATGCCGATTTTTTACTCTTTTCCTACATTTGCTTCCAAATGAAACTACCTCTTCCTGCCATAGCAGCTGGTATCGACTTTTTATCACTTAAACAAATTGCATCTCTTCTCCGATCTTGTGGTGCCTTTTTCATCCGTCGGTCTTTCAAAGGCTCTGAAAATTCCCTTTACCGATCTGTGTTCCGTAGTTATGTCCAAGACTTGGTAAAGGGAGGAGAGATGCCTATGGAGTGCTTCATCGAAGGGACTCGATCTAGAACAGGAAAATCTTTACAACCCCGTCTTGGTCTGATCGGAACCGCTCTGCAACTTTTCTGGACTGCTCAGATTCCGGATCTAATTCTGATCCCGGTTTCCATCTGCTATGATCGTATATTGGAAGAAGATTTGTATGCCAAAGAGTTAAGTCCTCCGCAAATTGACACTTCAAGCGGTTCTAAACCCAAAGAAACGCCTCAACATCTCCTCAATGGTGCTAGAGCAATCCTTGCTCAAGATTTTGGTTCTGTTTATATTAGATTTGGCTCTCCTATAAGTTTACGAGAGTTCCCAGGAAATCATGAGATTCGCCTTCAGTATCAGACAACTTGTAAATCAGCTGATGGTCCACAATGTGCTGAAGAGTTATCATTTGCGTCCCAGTTGTGCAGATCAGTAATTCAAGAGCATCATCGGGCTTCCATTATTTCACCCTTTTCACTCTTCTCTTGTACCATCTTTTCTGATCTAATCTCCAAATGCAATTACTTGGAATACGAACCCATCATTCTTGAAGATGATAACTTTTCTTATATTGACTATTCAGTTGACCTGATCTTAGAAACAATGGAACAGCTCTGTGATTTAGTTTCGGATAACAATTTATCTCACAAATTGCTCTCTCGTAGTTTAAAGGATGAATTTTTATCCTCCTTACCTATTCATTCTAATCTAGTCAATTTAGAATCAACCGATTTACATGAAAGTATACGAATATCGTTTGAAAATCATTTAACTCTTGCTCGATTTCGTAATTATTCAAACCAATTTCTTCAACTGGTCATTGGAATTGCCATGGTCGTCTATTCACCATCTTATAAAGTTTATACCAACCTAGAGAGGCTTCTTTCGCAAGAATTTGTTCTATCACCTAAATCATCTAGCGATTTTGATGCTGAAAAGATCTCTCTTGATAAATTATCTCCAAGAGTAATAGATTTACTCACAACCCACATCAATTACTTCCTAATTAACTATCACAGAATATGTCAATGGCTATTATCAGTTGATCCATTTGAACCTCTGGAAACAAAATCTTTTATTCGTAAAGTTCAAATTGAAATTAAAGTCCCAATGGATATGGTTCAGAATTTCGTCCAATTCTCGTTGAAATATGGTTCATTGGTCTATTCTGAAAATCAGCTTGTTATTAATCGTAGCTCAATTAGAGGTTTACTTGATCTAATTGTATCAACTTCACATAGTACGGATTTTCATCCAATTGAATCTCCAATCAAACCTAAATTGTAAAGCAAAATTCATCTTTCGGGTAGATTATCTGTTTTAGGTCACCCAATAATCTTCCAACTGATTTTTATCATTGTATACTTTTGCCTATTTCACTCAATATGAAATTACACTTGTCAATAATTTAAAAATTGTAATTTATAAAAGAGCCTGAAATTAGCTTTTTTGCTAAAATGATCTTAATCGAATCTTTTTCATTCTTTCATAGTTAACTTAAATTTTGTTTATGGTCATGCAACTTGATTACTTAACATAATATAATTGAATTTTGGTGGACTATTTCTCAATAAACCTAATCACAATTGTGCATTCATAATCATTCTTGGCAATTTTGCATTCACTTGATTTGATGTGTCTAATTGAACAAAGTTAAAATGAGATAACTTTTTAGCGCCTTTATTTTACGTTAAAAACAATACGTAAAATTTGTCAGTAGTTAAAAACAATTTACAGTAAAATAGATATGTTAACATAAATTATGAAAAAATACAATGAAAGAAAAATCAACGATCAAACAGAAGTTTCACTCTCAATTTCATTACCATCTTGGTCCTGTTTAATCAATCTTATCCTGGTTTTACCATTAATGGCAACTTGAGTATCTTTGGCTGAGTGAATTTTGGACGAATCGCCCAAGCTCTTTTTATGTTCGTCAATAATATAATTCTTAAGTTGATTTAATAATACCATGTAGTTATCGAAATCTTCTTTGGTAAATGGTGGCACAGGTTCATGTCTTGCGTGAATATAAGCATCCACGAATTGGTGAATCAATCTAGATTCACAATTTAGCAGTGGACCATCCTTGGACATTTTTATTAAATAATATCTTAAATCTTGTCCTGGTGGACGTCTCTTGCTTGTATCATTACAGGTTTGAATAATACATTCTTCAAGAATCGTTAGAGAATCCAGAGCTTTCATTCGCCAAAAATGATCGTATTTTGAACTATCTGTACAAAAGAGAGGCAATAGATTTTATTATAGACTAGTGTGATAATATTCAAGATGCATGCAAATAGTAAATCAAAGATGTGAAATTAATTTACAACCTTCATTAGAAACATTGACTTGATTAGGTGATGGATTTATCAGTTTGGGTTCAAATTTGATATGTTTAACAGCTTCTAATCTTCTATCAATCTCTTTTTTAAGATTCCTATGAGCATCCAGTCCAATCGGACAATGAGGTCCTCGGCGATTTTTCAAAGTAAATCTCATGATTTGCCTTTTAGCAAATAAGAAGAGAAGTATGAAAGCCTGAATAAGAGGTGCAAAAATAAATAATGAAACCACATTAAAGATAAACAATAACAAGCTATTCACAATTATTTATACTTACCATAATACCAACAGCGACAACCATGATAATGGTAAATCCTGAAAGCTCATTGCTATCAGCCATACTTGAAACTAATGAATAAATAAAGTGATCTAATCAAAATAACCAATTAAATCGGAAACATTTGACAATTCTTATGTGTTTACATGTACCAAATTTTGTATCATGTGGTAACCAAAGTAACCAGCAAACCAGAAACCGGTACATTTAAACCAAATTTTGCTTTTACAGTAAATCCATTTAGGTTCAACCAGTTTTCACTCCTTTGATTTAATAGTGTAATATCAAAGAGCACTGAATAGAAAAAACAAATTCCAACAGGAGAGAAATGATAATTGATGAGAACACATTTACTTTTTGGAAACTATCACAATCACCAAAACGTTTTCAAAGAGTTCTGTCTTGCTGGAATCATTGTCTTTGAGTTAAGACCTGGTTGAGCCTAAATGGATTGGCCAGCATTTTGAAAAGCCCATAAAATCTGGATGCAAAATCCTTTCAAGCTTATTTTGAAATTATCCGGTCTGACTAAGAAATGTAAATTCCTAACCTCTACGATTTAAACCAGTAAAATTAATCTAATTATCTGAAAGTAGATTTAAAAAGATTACAAGTCTGAGCTGGTGATGACGAATAACTGACCAAGTTTGGGGGGAAAATGCCTCAAGCTTTAATCGGAGTGACTTATGACAAACATACGCTTAAAACCGAGTTTAAACAACTCTGGTCAAGTGAACCTATTAAAATAAATCCTAGTTTTTGCTTGTCTAGTAATTTGGATTAGATTAAATCATTCTAATTGTAAATATTGGTTATTACAATCGTCAATCGATTCAAATTCAAACTCTCCTTACGTATCAGAATAAAATGGATACAAAAAATATCATCTACAATCAATTACTTTAATGATGATTTACCTTCTTTAATGATTTAAACTTTATATTTGGCTGATTGTTATATTTAATGTCAACTATCATTTATTCAATCTTGAGAGATGAAGCTGCATTACCAGGTTATTAATAGTAAATTGTAAAGCAATAGTTTCGATCATCACTTGAGTAATTTAAACACTTTTTTGACTATTTACGCACATTTTTGATTAAACTGATTCAAAGGGGAAAAAAGGAAAAGTAAATTAACAATCAAAATTAAACATTGAACTGTTACATCAACAGGATAAATTGGTTACAAAAAATGACAATTTTTAGAGGAATCATCAGGAAAACGTTAACAATGAATGTAAAAGCTGCATTAACAGTCACAAAATGTACCATTTTCATGGTAAACATTGAACATAGAAATTAATTTTTGATTCTTATTTCAATGTGTATGTGTTCAATATTATTGAAATGATTATCAATCATTATTGCACATTTAGATATAAATCAATTGTCTCTTTATCATGAGTCAATGAAAATTACAATAAATATTAACACAATAACAAGAGTTTGGGTTGATTGGATTTAATGGGCTTGGGTTAGAAGTAATTATGATTCAACTATTTTATTATTATTATTGGTTTGATTATATATTTTTTTTACTTTTGCTGTCTTCTTACAATCATCATCATCAGAAGAGTAAACATTGTGAAGAGTTTAATTGAACTGATAGCTAATCATGTCATACAATGAACTTGTTCACTTTGAATTATCACAAAAATCAATTTAGATACTGTTGTTGGTTAAAGCTGGTGAAGGTAAAAGAAATTGGAAGAAATGTTGATTATTATGATGAAAATAATCACAATAAACATGATGATCATGTTAGTGGTGGTAATCATGGTAATCGGTTGATTCTTTACTTCTAACCATTACAAAATTCAAACAAATCAACCATTATCTCCAGTTAATACAGTTACATTGAACAAAATGTATCGACACATGTTTAAACATTGCCCGAGGTTGAAGTGTTTATTCATTACAATTTTCGTTAGATTTGCATGATTCTCATGGTTGTTGGTACTCATTTAGATTACTAGATCAAAGATGAGAATGTTTAGTTGATTATTTACAGTATTACCCAAAAAAACAAATTGTTATAACCTGTAATTATCAAAAAAAAGTGTGTCCATCCAAGAATCAACTTTTGTCCTTTTTAATATTTCAACTGACAAGTCAATCAATCGACCAACATTGACAACACCATTACCATACAAACTGATCACAATCAACTGGCTAACAATTTGGTAACCCTGATTTTAGTTCATTTTCCGTCTCCTTTAATCATTTGGTCATTTTGAACTTACAATTTGTTCAATTCATGCCAAAAGCAAATGTATTTTGTCAAGTAAACTTTCCAACATAAGTATAGCAATTATAATATTTGGCTACAGTTAATGATTTGAAATTATATCAGAATTACCATTCCTTATATTGTATTTATTTCACACAATGAGACCAAAGTGTAACTTTTGAAAGATTTACATAAAATTCAAGATTCAGCAGCAATTGGATGGTGAATTTGGTGATTGTTAAACATGAGAAAGAAATGAAAACAACTGCTGATGTTATCAGGTTGATAGATTGCATAAAAAATAGATTAAAAAATCGACAATAGATGCAGACACTTTATTAGATGAGAAACAAATAGAATGCATTTAATCAGTTGAAATGTAAATTCAATTTTCTGTTTGTTTATTTGTTCAGTCAACAAATCAAATCAAAATGAACATTAACATTTAATTGTCAAATAAAGCCTAGAGTTAATTGTTGAACTGAAATCTTGTTTATTCCATTCTTTCTTTCTTTTCTCTCACTTTTGTTTAGTGCATGTCTGTCAATGGCGTTCCATCACGTGTTCACCTGTAAAGCTGTGAGACACTGAAACGACCATTTTTGCTCTTACTGAAGGTGTGTGTGTGTGTGTATTATTTTGTATCAAACACTCGATTTATTTTTTTCTTCTTTGATGGTTTACTTCATCGAAGCTGGCAAACGTAAATACGCACCATCACCATCACCATCATCGTCATCTGCATCTTCATCGTCATCTTCATCATTATCATCTTCATTCTCATCATCAACCACTATATCAACAACAGCAACAACCATCAACATTAACAACATTATTTAAATATTTCTGTGAAATAATTTAGTAGCCCTATCAGTTTAATTATGATTTTAATTCTGTGAATTTACTCTGCATTTTCAAGAGCTTGAAATATTCTTATTTCATGTACGTATAAGGTTTTTTTTATTTAAACATCTTTACATTTTTCTCAATTTATTTTTTTTCTCTTTCATAATTCTTTCTCTGTCTTTCTCTGCCTTTCTTTTTCCCCCTTGTTTACTAATCTTACTTGTCAAATGTCATATTTAGGAATTGAATTGTTTAAAAAGACGAAATTTCGATAGAATCGTTTCTTAGGTTTAAGCCAATTTATTGTTGAGCTGTATATCCAGTTGTTATTACCATCTAAAATATTTTCTTAAAAAACCAGTCAGCCAGTCTTTCTCATTTTCCTTTCTTTGATTCCCTTTCTTCTTTCTCTTTCTCTTTCTATCTTCCTTTAGGTCTCTGCTTTTCGCATTTTTCATCACCAGCAATTTCAATCAGCTTTCTTTTATAATCTGGTTTTGTCTAAGAGTTTTTGTCTCTTTTAATTAATCCTCGTCTTTTTTATTCATTAAGCTTCTTAATTCTTCCAATTGCTTGCTATAATGTAATTTTCACTTAAATCTCTTTCTTTTTAGCTCCCTCCCCTTTTTTCTCACTCTCTTTTCAATATTATCACTCATACTGCAACTCTACTCTAAACGTATCACAACATTCCCTTTCTTGTACTATTTTATCTGCATTTTGTGTACATTTGACATCTATTTTTCTAATTTCTCTTTTTAGTTTAAATATTTTTCTGTGTTGGAAGGCTCTTCAAATCAGCAACCGTGTTTAACTCAACAGCCTGTGTGTGTTTATCCTTCTACCTCTCACCTAATGGCTCATTGAATAGGGGAGGAGAAGTTACCATCTTGCCCTGGTTTGTTTCCTCCTATGTAAACGGAGGATCTCTCAATATGTCAGATAGAGGGAACACTGCGACAGCCACCGCTGGTAATGCGTCCGCTGCTGTTGCTGCATCATCTTGTTCATCAAATCCACCGAGTTCTGCAGCAATTCCTCAAACGAAAAATCACTCTAATTTACTCGTTATCGATTTAACCAACTCAGATGAAGAGGATAATCAACGTACAGGGGGTGGTGGCAGCATAGCTGTTGGTGGTTCAGCACCAGTAACAAATACAAATAGCAATTGTACTGTGAATAATAATAGCAGAAGTAACATGAGTACCAGTGATCCTGTTCAATCGATGAATCATCATCATCTTCAACAGCCTGTGCAACATCAGCATCAACAACAACAGCAACACGGAGCTTTATATCTTCCTCAACACTCTCAACATCCTTTACAACTCTACAATCATCATCAACCTCACTCGCACCATTTTCATCATCACCTGCATCATAATCCTGGACGTGAAGTCGTGGAGAGAAGTAAGAAGTGTACAAGACGGGACAAGATAAACACTAACTGTGTGCATTCGCCTGGTGATACTAATAGTAATAACAACAGCACCAATAGCCAGATAAATGGTACCTTAAGTTCTAATCATGTGAATCATTATCCAAACCATAACCAAAGTCTAAACAGTGGTAACAGTGGAAGTAGTAGTAGCAGCAGCAGTAGTACCAGCAGTAATCACGACAACAACTGTTCCCAAAGCATGCCCGGTCATAGTTCCGTTGGTTCACCATTACCAGTACCGCTTAATATCGATCAACCTCAAGTTATGACATCAACAAATCCTTACTATAACCCCAACTGTAGATATGGCTACCTTCACCCAAGTGATCCCGCGAATACGAATCGAAATATATGCCCAGAACTGAGCAATAATGGAGAGGCCTGTTCATCATACAGCAATTGTTTCGTTGCAAGCTCATCTAATGGTGTTAATCCTGCTCCAGTTACAGGACCTTGTCCACATAATCATGGTTATTGTCCCGTCGGCAGTCCACACACAATGCCTACTTATCAAGGGCAACCATCTGACCTAAGTCGTCTATTCGGTCCAAATTTAGCTGCACCTCTTCCTTCGCCTAGGCCTAGACAGGATCCCTCAATATATTATCCATATTACTCAGGCCAACCACCTCCTCATCACAGCCACAACTATGCAACATATCAACTGCCTCCTGGGATGCATCCAAATCATCAGAGGATCCTTCTTTCTCACCAAAGAATCGGTGAAAATCACCGAAGAAGCTATCTCAGACATGCGGTCATGCAAAGGTATGTTTATAATTTCTATTTTTCTATTTCTAACTTTGTTCAATTGAATCATGACTATACCAATAGCTAAGCAATAAGAGTTCATATTGAGGTTGTTACCATGTATGTGATGTTGCAAGAGAATAACAAGACTAAATTGATGATAAATGTAGATTGAAAAGCTGATGAGTATAGCAGTCAAATCAGAGCCAAGCCTTTGTTTTTGGCTTCAGATGTTTTATCTGACGACTCTTACTTGAAAACAATTTTCAAGAGTATTTTGTTTTCTCCAGTCTAACGCTCTTGGTTAATATTTTGTTTACTTGAAGGTTGTTTTTTGCTCCCATTAGATAAAATGTTAATTTTGATCACTCGTTCTTGCTTTCATTTATTGGTGACTTTTCACATGCAACAAAACCAGAACCTTGGATTTCAATGTTAACTTTATCCATATTTCACTTCTCCTGAACTATTATGAAACTTAATGAACAGAGTTTATGCTTGTCATTAGCCAATGATAAACAAACTAGTTTTACTAGGTAGCCGGAAAAACGAGGCAATTTTCTGTATAATCGGAATTGACTTTATTATATTTCAATTTTAATTATGATTCTCAATAATCCACAGTGTTTGACTTAATTATTTCTGTTAATTATCTATAGTTAGCTGAGTTTAGTGCCTGTTGATGTTAATCTAATTGTCATTTCTCAAATATCTGCTTCAATTATGCTACCTCCCATCAGATATGTCTAATATAGTAATTTAAAATTGAAATTTCCAATTTAGAGCTTATTTGTATTACAAGTTAAAATTTTTACTTTCAAGTTTCCATTATAATTTATGCTAGATTATTGAATTCATTTTATCGATATTGTTAGTAAGCAAATGTAGACTAAAACCAGTTCAATGAGATGATAAATTAGCAACAGATAGTTCAGATAGAAAACTAATGATACTGACCTTCTCCCTCCCTCATCTTGATTATCGTTGTCATTCAACATCACAATAATTATAATGAATTGATATAAATATACACTTCATGCTCAAGAACGATCTTCGGTTGAATGACATATCTTGCCTCATATGATTCCATTCTTTATTTTCACTTAAGCAATGTAAGCTATTTTCAAGCTCCCTCTTTTGCTTTCGTTCAAAGTTGCTTTGTTTTGATTAACATTACTCGTGCACTCAGATTTTATTACAATTCTGTCTTCTGACATTTTATCTCAAAATTTTATCATTTAAACAACACAACAAGAATTTGACTAATACTCTTTTTTTGATTATCTTTTCAGGCGATTGCTGGAATCACGGAATCAAGTGTATCAACGTTTTGTAGAAAACGCTAGTAATATTAATGCAGCAAATCACGGAGCTCATAATATGCATGGAGCTCTTGCCACAAACACAAACTCTCATGTGAACCTTTACGATTGTCCAAACAATGATAATTCTTTTAGTTGGAATTTAGGAGTTACACCGCAATTTATAGATCAGGTATGTTAATTTACTTTCTAGTAATTATTTGCATTTGATTTTCCTCATACAAGTAAAATATGTTTCTACTTTATTTACAATTTAACTAACAATGTTTCATTTTTTTCTCTTTTACTTCTCAACAGAATCAAGCTAGTGCTGCTATGACTAGTATCGCTTTACACACATTACCTGGACCTCCTACAATTCCTTCCATTTCTTTACCGGTGCCAATGAATCCAATTTTAGCCTCTAATAGTGATGGAACACTTGTTTCTAGTACTGGTGATTCCTGCAATAGATTTGATATTTCATCTTTAACGTTACCATCTACCCGCGTTCCTAATCTTAACCCAGCTGCTCGGCCAAACTCAAACTCGCCACAAGTTCCAAACAACCCTAACGAGATGGGTGAACTTAACGAAAATGTTCAAAACGATATTGTCAACACACCAACAGATGCCCCGCATTCTCACATTCACCATCATGTGCATCAACACCATTATCACCACTCTCACCCAACAAATAGAGTACATTTCGGAAATCCTCATCTCCAAATCACTATTTCCCCACAAATGGTAAGTACCAATACCCTCACTGAACAACGGAAATACGTATATTAATAATTCAATAACATTCAATACTAATGCCTTTTCTCTCTTTTTGTTTTCAATAGATTGTTGCTCCGAGACAGGATGTGATCTTTTCTGAAATCGCACCCAGCTTTTCCCCTCCTTTCCACCATCCATATCAATCTCCATACATTACTGGGTACATGAGAAGTATACAGCAACATCGTCACACCGCAACTGTTAATAGAGGAGCTTCACAAGCTGTTATCGAACGTAATACCTTCCCTCACAAGTACAAGAAAATTCAAAGAAGCGCCGAAATCGAGGATACCATCGAAAAATGTACTATATGTTTATGTGAGTTTGAAGACACCGAAGATGTCAGGTAAATATCGTTTTATTGTTTATTTATTATATCATTAACTTTCTACAACAACTTTCATTACTTTCCTTGTTTTTCTAGTACTTCATGTTCATAAATTTATTATTGATTTTAATATTAAATTATCTTGTTTTTTTTCTACAGGCGTTTACCATGCATGCACTTATTCCATGTTGAATGTGTTGACCAATGGCTAGCAACCAATAAACGGTGTCCAATATGTCGTGTTGATATCGAAGAGCATCTTAAAGACTTTGGCTTGGCCTCATGACCTCAGGAGTTGTATACTGTAAATGTCTATTATATATTATAAATATATAAATATATATACCTTCATTGATGGGGAACCACTAATCATAAACTCTTCTAATGTGTGCTCAAAATCCTCATCCACCAAGACTAACTTCCGTCTCTTTTATCTTTCTTTCACACACTCTTTCTCTATCCATCCCTTCGAATTTTAAACCAAAATTGTCCCACTTCCATATATATATATTGCTAAAATAATAATTATAATCCAAAATCCTTTTATCATGAAAAAAAATCTTTCTTTTTTCTTGTGTTGTGTTTTATGTGAGAGAGCAGTTTTTTAAAGCTCAAAAAGATACCTCTTTTCCTACCTGAAAAATCAGCATAATTTTTCAAACTAGAAACATTAAAATAATTTTGATTTGAAAACCAATTTTTGCTTTCACCTTATGAAACAAAAAACATTTTTTTTTGCTTGATCAACTACCATTTTAGCCTTGTCTTTAGGAGTGAATGAATGTATTGTTCAAGACTCTGTGCGAGTCAATTTTAATTGTAAAACAAGAAGTGTTAGTTTAGATTGACAGTGATGGAAAAATGGAGAAAGAAAAAGAGATTCAATTCCTAAATGAAAAACCAATGAGAAAACAAAAATAATTAATGAATATTTTAGATTACAATCACCTAATGAAACAAGAAAAAAGAAAAATTTGATGTAAAATGTAACTAACTGTTGATACAATGATTATAAATATTATATTGATTATATATTACATGTCCAATCTCAATTGAAACAAAAGCTTATATTTCTTGTCCCTTTTTTGAGTGTCATTCAGCAACTCCTCAAAAAACATCTCAAAATGAAACAAAATTAGCTGATTGTTAGCAGCTTTCCATCTACCTCTTTCTGTCCAACAAACAACAAAAAGACTGAGGAGTAACATCTTTTTATAAGCAAATTGATTTCACTTTTTTGTCTCTTCAACGTTTCTTTTTCTCAATAATCATCGTTTTACTGTAATTTTATCATGTAATTATAATAGTAATAATAACAACCATAATCTAGTGATTTTTTTGTGAAAATTGATTGATTATCGGTCGTAAACGTCTTTTTTTGCTGCAAAACAGCACATTGAATCAACATGATGATGTAAAACATGATTATCAGGAAAAAGAAACAAACAATTAGCAAAAAAAGCACATTGTGAAAGTTTAAATTGTATTATATAACAAGTATTCATTGTATCATAGTTAAATTAGTTGAATATACAAAACTAATTGTGTATAATTTACAAACTCTAATTTCTTCCATCCTTTACCATTAATTGTTAACCTTTTTCTCACTTATCCTCTTAACTCTTTCTCTGTCAAACCTTTATACCTTTTAACCTGAACCTTATCCATTTTTTAACAGCAAAGGTAACCTTTCAGTAAAACCATTTTTCTGTTTTCTTTTGTACTCACATTGAAAGATTACCTTTGATTGAACCAAAAGCAAACCCAAAATTATTTATTTATAATTAGCTTAAACACTTTAAACTGTAAACAATCAAAGAAACATGTGAAAGATGAATTACACAATTATTTTTCCCAATGTTGAACCCATTGATTACAGACAAACAAGTTATGATGTAAAATACGCAGAAAAAGAAACCAAGGAAACGATCGTCAATTAACATACAACAATAGCTAATTGGGATTTAATCACGCACGTTAATCAAGCCATCATCAAAAAGATTACAAACATTTTTTCTTCTGTTCAGCAAAACCGAAATAGTGTGTATTTCATTGCTTTGTGGGACCATTTTTGAACCTGCTTTGACTTTTGGACTATCTCAACACTTCTGTCTTTTAACGTAACAATTTGGTTGGTGATTCATTATTAATTAAAGCCAGGAAGAATACAATAAAGATTGGAAATAAATCGGTTACTAATTAAACCAGAATTGCACTTTAATCATCATTTATCTGCAAGAGTTACAAATAGGAAAGGATAAAGAAACACACAATTGGATTATCATTATCATGTTTATATTCTTAGGGAAACAATTTTCATCGAGAAATTGTGATGCTGTTGTTAATTTTCCCCTGTTCATTACAATATTTGATAATAATTGCAAAATTTCAATGGGAATTCAATTGTCGTTGTCTACGCCACCATTACCACACTCATCATGAAAACGTCACTTTTTTTGTACCATTACCATGGGAAGCAGGCAAATGATAGAAGCTGTTGAACATTTTCTGAACTCAATTCCCTGTTAGATATTTTGGCCTGAAATCTTGCTTATTGGTTATCTTTGATTTTTGATTCTGCCAAAAGATGAGCTAAAAAGATTACCGTTGTTTTGGTTTATTCAATTTTTGGACAACAATTTCTTCTTCTGCCTGTTTTTTAGTCATGATTATCATTCGTAATTGAGACAACTAGCAGATTATTCATTTATTTGGAGTTAAATATACTTAAAACGATTACAGAGGAATAGAGTGGATAAAAATAGGGCTTCAACCAATCTTCACGTCAACCATAAAAGAAATGATTTCATCCTTTAGGCTCAAACGGAATCACGAAATTCAACTTCATTTGGTTTTCATTCTGGTTGTTCCGTCAATTTTTGATAGCTATTTGAAAAACAATATGAACTAACAAACTGAAACACACACAAAAACGCTAACAGCTACGATTTCATCAAAAAAAACTCACCTAATCTAACAATTAAGGAAACAACAAATGTTTTATTGAAAACACAAAAAAATACAAGATATAACTCACAATTTTTTAACTACAAAAAGCAAATTAATTACAAGGAAAACTAATTGAAAACAGATGAAAATATGAACCACTGCTTTAAATGTTTTTAATTGTTCACATATTTTTTTTAAATGTTAGACATGGTTGCCCTCTCGATTTAAATTGTACTTTGGGTAATTTTAATCATCAAACTTATGGTTAATATAAAAAATGAAAAAATTTCAATCCCTTTAATTACTAAGCAAAGGCAAGCATAACTTCAATCAAGATAATAAACAAAAAGCAAACCTTAAATGAAATTAAAGTTGCTTAACTTTGCCAAACTCAAATTTCTGTCCATTATTTTACATATCGCGCGTTTTTTGATATTTGGTCTGAATTTGTTTCAGTTTTTTTACTCTGATTGAGACTCGAGTCTGAATAACTGCTTCAAAAAAATATCATTACAGCTAAAGGCTATTCTGTTTAGTGCTCAAATTTAGATACATTTTGCTGAATTTTTCTTTATTAACAACATTTAAAACTCAATAGTTTCATATATTATTAGTAATCTATATTAGTATTCATATATAATAGTTTAAAATTTCATCATTTTATGTTTTATTACTTAAATAAGGTTAGGAATACCTGTTTCTGTATGAAATTGATCAGTGGCTGATAACAATCGAGAGAATTAATTCAATAGTATTTTATTCTTTGATAAATTATGAAGACTGAGTGAATTTATATTATAGTTGAAATAAAAAATTTACTAAGCTATACAAAACACGACAGTCTTAAAATGGTAATCATCAATAAAGGATTAGGTCTATGTACTTGAAATGTAGATTAGCGTTTTTGCTCGCTAAATTTTTCTCAAATGAGCGTTTTGGATAAGCTGTCTGCGTGTGTGAGCATAAAATTTATTGATCGCGAAATCTAAGCTTTCCTACCGCGCTCATGTTTCTGGCGATTCTGCCCGAATTGACTGGATTAAGTAATGAAAGCCAAAATATAGTAATTTATCGCGATTCCTTTATTTCATTAGCAGAATAAATCTAGAAACGCGTTTAAACTGTTTACCTGTAGAAATAAATAAATAAAAAACAATTCTGTTAAAAATTCTTGATTGGATGAGTTTTATTCGGTTATTTCAGAAACATTTTGTGAAATCGGATCTTTGAATAAGGCGCCTTTTTTAGCTTTCCAAAGATTCAAAACAAAAACAAAACCTTTTAACCTAAAATAATAGTCTTGAGCCTTCCATCAAAAATCAATTGAATCTCTTTATAAATTAATCTGATTAACTCCTGGCACCATCAATCTGTTTTTCTAGTGAATTATACTTCCTTTTGAGCGGTTCGAGCTAAGCTGTGTTAATTTAAATAATATTGATCTTATCTACGTACGTTTTCATCATGGTCTGTGAAAATTGCGAAAAGAAATCAAGCAAAGTTATTGTCCCTGATAAATGGAAGGCCGGTGCCCGTAATACGAATGGTAAGTTTACCTAAACATGCTAATGAATCATTCTAAGCGAGTTTCTTACCTTTTCAGAAAGTGGTGGCCGTAAAATCAACGAGAATAAAGCTTTAACATCTAGAGGACGATATAACCCAGTGGCTCAGTTTTCCAAATGTCAAATTTGTAGACAACGGATACATGTTGCGGGATCAGTCTATTGCCAATGTAAGACTCTTAATATTTTATTACCTTTAATTAACCTCTTTCTGCTACACGTTTAGATGGAAAGAAATGTGTCTGTAAATATATCAATACAAACATCAAGTCAATGCTTTATTTGATTGACAATATTTTTAATGACGAATGAAAGCAGTTTATGTCAACAAATTTTCATTTATATATATATTTGATAATGATTAATAATGTTTTATCTTGTTTGTTTTCTTTGCAGCTTGTGCTTACAAGAAAGGTATATGTTCGGGATGCGGTAAAAAGATGTTGGATACCAAAAATTATGTCCAATCTGCAGTTTGATTGAATATTCGTATCACCTCATGTTGATGCCAATGGAAGCGGTAACTGGAATTGGTAGAACAAAACACAAACAAATACACACTTGAGGTTATTCAACATATTCATATAAAAAGGATGGAAAATAGCAAGAGTTTCCAGTTTTCTATCTATCAAATGAAAAGAACAACAAAATTTTAAAGACAATTGAACAAAGAGATCGAAACAAGATTAAATAATACGATGAACATCAGCATCAATTTGAGATGAAAGCCACAAAGGCCACAAGAAAATGATACTCTTTTATTTTTTTCTTCGCTGATAAATATATACATTTAAATGTCCATAGGAACCAACGAAGGCTTCATTATCGGCAGTTGCATCAGAGAGGCATAAAAGATGCAGCAAAGCAAGAATACTGTCGATCTCACGAAATAATACATAGCTTATGTTTATTTGGATTTTGTGTTTGTTTTAGCTTTTCCAATCTTTGACGGAGAAGAACAGAAAAAACAGAACGAAGAAAGAGAATTTAAGGATGAAAAGAAAACAAGAGGAGCAAGTAACATCATCCAGATCATTAAATGTTTGTTTGTGTTTTTGGTTGGTTGTAATTGAGAGTTGAAATAAAACCAAGGTCCAAAATAAGCATGAGCATGATTCCGTACCGCTTCTTGTTTAGTATGAAAATCAAACTTCCACGATCATCTTTTTGTGGATATCGGTGTTTCCTACAACCTGAAGAGCAAAAATAGATGAAAAACGTTTGTATCATTAGAATTCAGAGTAAATAAAAATTCTGTTGTTTCACCCAAAACTGTGTTTGTTTGAAAACGCGATGTTTGACATCTTTAACATCTTTCTTTTAATTATTCAATATGTTTCTCAAGCTTTAAAGTTAAGTGACAATACCATAAACATTAACATCAACTAGAAATTTGAGACGGAGCTGTAATTCGAGATTAAATTACATGAAATAATTCGTGTTGCTTCACACCGGAAAGAAATGAGAGAAAAGTCTTCTAAATCGTTACAGAATTCTCAAGATGTTACAGAATTATGGTATTTACACCGGAAACAATCACATAATACTTACCGCACAGAACTCTTCGAATGAAATTTTTCCATCTTCATCTTTATCCGCAAAAACAATTGTCTTGTCCACAATTTGTTGTAATTGGGTATCCTTCAGATTATTTCCAACCATCATTTTAAGTACTTGAAATAATTCACCGTTAGAAATGAAACCATCATTATCCATATCATAAATTCGGAATGCAACTAAGAAAGGGAAAAATAAAAGTCCATCAGAAAAGGCTAATATTTTTATAATTTTATACTTACATCTTAATTTCGATTCTTTATCACCTTTAACGCTAAATTGTGAGACTCCTTGAATGAATTCTGTAAGGTAATTAGATTTGAAGATTAATGTTAAATCAGTGTAACAATAAAAGAAATTCAGATTCGCCTGACAATATTGCATAGCTTGAGAAATGCTATCTTTCCAGTAACTAGCGTTTTATGGATGAGTTATAGTAAGGTTGAAAGGTAAGTTCCCAGGTTATTATTCAAGCTATTGCAATGTGATTTAAAAGCAACAAATATCGCAATAGTCACCTTTGAAGTCTACTTCTCCATTCCCGTCTGTATCAAATATATCAATAACCCGCTGAACCAACGGATTTTGTTGTAATTCAGGCAGGATCATAAACTCCTCTACACTAAGAGATCCAGAATTATCCAAATCGAGTTTTTTAAATCGTTTACCGAGCCTCTTGATTTCATCGGCGTCAACTGTAATGAAATTAAAATTATTAGCATGATATCAATTACAAGAATTAACGACTTTGATTGGAAAAAAATATGAGCGAAGGGTAAGGATATAATAAAATGAGGCGAAATGAAGCCTGGCTAAGCAGAAAAGCAATATAAAACCAAGTGAGCTTCATCATAAAACCAATCGATTAAAACAGGTAACTACATATAAAATGTACATTTATCAAGGTTATACAGTCAACTTACATGTAGAGCACATTTCCATTGGTAAAGACGCTTCATTTCCCTGTATAAATTATTGTCCATGTTGAGGTGACCGTCGATAATCACATAAGATTGATAAAACCACACGCGGATAGGAGCGAGTACACACAATGGTATGGTTTAATACAGCAGAAACATCATTGGATCGGGTCCAAAAGGAATTAGTTGGAGTAGTGGGTCCAAAAGGAGCAAAGAACAGTATTTGATGTTCCAAAAAAGGTGGAGATAATCACATAGAAAGAAATACAATTCAAAAAGGGTACATAAAAGAGTTAGTTAAAGATACCGCATATTATCAATTGATTATTGATTAGAATTATCAAGAATGTTGAGAAAGAAAACGTTAAGTTCTTTGGTTGGAAAAGGAATAATCAGGTAAACAATTGGATGGAGTAAATATTACAATAAAACAGGATATACGAACCATTTTGATTGCTGTTTTTGATTAAAAGTACACAAACCGAGCAAAAAATAAACGATGAGTATAAAGAGACAGAGAGTTAAATGTGAATTATATATCAAGAGTGGAAGATATACTGATAGATATTAATGTTGATGTTGATTTTTTTGTAGCTGTTGTTGTTGATGATGATGATGATAAGGAAGAATGAGAAGAAGAAGAGAGTGAAATACAAATGAAAGAGTGTACAATGTGTGGAGAAGATGAACACACTCAGAGAAAGTGAGTAAAGCTGGTTTATTCGCTGGATGAAGCAAAAATCAATTAACAAACAGAAAAAAGACAAACTGAAGATGAAAATGAAGATCGCAGATGATTAAAGGTGAATACCAGAGATTCAAAAGGGATGATTGGAGGAACAATCACACTACACTATGGTGTAGAAAGAAGAAGACAGATAGAGAACGAGAAAAAGAGAGAAAGAGAGAGAGAGAGAAAAAGACAAGCAATAGTAGGGAACAGAGTGAAAATAAAAATACAAAATACTGGTTGATAAAAAGGTTGTATAACTAATATTGTATTAGGCTTAAAAGAAATAGGCTAAAACTCGGTAGATATTTAATCTTGTGATGATATTAATTTTAAAAAATTTTGACGGTAAGGTTAAAAATGTATTGAATTCAGCTGATTAACCATTTACCAGTTTTACTTCGCTAAATCCTTCAGGCTGAGAACCTTGAGTTACTCTATCTATCTCTTCTTTTTTCCCCTCACTCTTTTCTTTCTCACTTACACACTCTCCGGATCCCTTGTATTTTTCCCTGTCTTTTCTCTTGTTTAGTTTAGTTCAGTTCTTTTTACTCATGCTTCGTACCACAATTTAAATTATTCTTTTCATTTGAGATTCGACAGAGATTTCCCAACAATAGCTAGTGAAAACCATTTGGAAAGCTTCATTTTTCCTGTTGATCAGCAAGGAAACTTCATGGTAATGCCTGGTGTCTCCCCAGTTCAAGTTATTCACTTTATCTTCTCCTGGCATAGCCTTTCAACTTCTGATTAGGTATACTCTCCAACTTGCTGTTACTTGATAACAAATGTAGATGGTGCAATTGAAAATGGCTTGCAATTTAAATTCATGCTCAAATTGGATATCTTTTTCCCTGGTAGGCAGCGTATCTCTTGAAAGTTCATCTGTAACTCCTTTCCTCAACTCCACTTTTTGTTACTCATCATTTACTTTCACTTGGGACCTTTTTATTTTCCATTGTATCAAAACGATATCATCATGACGATAGTCAATTTTGGAAAATGCTCAACATTTCTTGAAATAGTCTTTAATGTTGGAGCCCATTCCGATAATCTGATTCCATCTTCTGGCTTTAGCTGCAAAGTTTCACAGAAATTGATACCGGTACAAGTCCGATGAGTAACTCCAGCAGGGGTTCCCAGCTTTATCATCCTGTTCAGTCAGTAATCAACATTCAATCAGGAAAGAATAGTAACTTAGCATCAGAGCACAAAATTAAATTGAGATGGATACGTTGCGTTTATGCTATAAAATCACGCATTGAGAAGAGAGTTCAACCAAAGTTTCATCCAGCAATAAAATTTCAGCTCAAAGAGGCAAATCAGACGTTAATAAACAATGGATAATCACACCAATTTGTCAAAAAAGTTGTCTTTAAATTCGAGAAATGTTTGTTGAAAAGAAGTCGATTGTTCACTTGTAACAATTGTTCGGTGTGATGATGAACGTAGTCCCAAATTTTGAGCCTCTAATAGTTGTACTTGAAATTTAATTAAAGTGAAATGTTGTCATCAAAAACTCTGAATAATTAATTTATTGATATATTTTATACTAAATCACATCAATGCGTTGCTTTACATCACATCACTCAGTAAAGTACTCACATAATAATTAAAAACATTCAATAGAAGGAGTAACAATAGCAATCATAGTTGCTTCACTTATCAAAAAATAAGCAACCCAAAAAGTTTCTAATTACATTAACAGATGGCGCCTGACGATGTACCCAAATATAAAAAATTATATTAAATTATTAATATTAATAATAATAAATTCATCAAATAATGTAAATAAACTTGAAAAATCCCTGAATCAAATGAATAAAAAGCAAGGCGAAGAAGAAAATTTTGAAAACACTGAAAAAATCAACAAATGGTAATCCTATGCATAACTAATGGATCCATTATAAAACATTGATTACATAAAACCACGAAAAAAGGTTTATTGTTACCAAAAACGCAAAAACTAATCAACCTTCAAGGTTTAATTAAAATTACCTTGATTATTGTTTTTATTGTTGAGTCGATTTAAAGCCTGAAAATGACCAAATGGCCTGGAAGTAATAATCCAATAATCCAATGATTATTATATCACTATAAATGATGAGCTATTAAATTAAATGTATTGTTCATCTGATCGTGATGGATCAACCTGGTTTCCCAAATAAACCCAACTATTTATACATTGATTAAGAATCATCACTCAATTTGACTCCTTAAATAATCAAATAATAGATATTATAAGATACAATATAAAACGTGATTAGTTGAAAATATATCAAGTCCTAGTAAAAATGATAAAATAAACTTGTATTGAAAATATTGATATAAAAATTGATTCCTTTCAATCAATAAATCAAGTTAAACGGTAAATTTATCTGGGATTGTCTTTTGCTAATTTAATAACCCAAAGAAACTAAGATTGTTTATTAATGGGTAACTTTGTTTTTGGTCAATTAACTAATCGTGTTATTGCCACCCTTGAATAATCTTATAATTGTTTAATCAGTTAAGCTGTAAAGACAAACTTTATTGAGCCAAAATGAAATTAAAAACAATAAGGTGTGTTGATCAATCACGAATCATTCATTTACCAAATCAAATTGATTACAGACTTTATTACATTGATCGTTCCTTAAACCGTAATAACATGAGAAACAAAAATTAATGTTACAAACAATTGAACATGAAAAATTTAAATATTCAAATGGCTATCATTGAATGTACAGAAAATAAAGTAACTTGGATTTTGGAGAAAATTGTTTCGTTTTTTGCTTCATTTGATTAATAATGAAATTTAGTCCATTCTTGTTAGTCGATGTTAGTCTAATTCAGATTTCTGTTCATTTGACAAATGAAAGGGAAGAGCTTGGAACTGAATATTTCAAAAAATGGTAACATTTGAACATCACGCTTAAATCTGCATATAAATTAAAATAGAACTATTTTTTAATCAAATTTCCAGCATTTTTGAGTTCAGATGAGTTCATTAAAATATACAAACAGTAAATCAAAGCTTTTCATCATAATTTTATGGCATCAATAGTCATTACATGATGAACAAATATATCGGCTTTGAAAATATTTAAATGAGTATATTGCATTTCCAAGCTGATTTACAATGAGACAGAAAATTAAAATCAAATTCACACTCATTAACGTTAGTTGTTAGAAACATTTGCGGCCTAAATTGTGAAAGGCTTTAAACTAGGACTAACTTGCTTTTGTTTTGATCCTTCAAAAAATAAGTAAATAAATAACTCTGAGTTTCGGTAAGAGTTGATTTGATGAGTTTTTCATGAAAATGGAAGCCGTTTATGCAATCGAGAAACATCTGATGGTCAAAGGTTTCTCATGTAATCCTTAATAGCTTTTTGTTCAGTCATAGTTTCAGGTTTATTAGCAAAACGATTTTCTCAATGTTACTTTCGCTAGTTCATCAGAGAATGTCCACTTCTAAGAATTAAAGGGAGAAAATAAGCTTTCTAGCACTTTTGGACTGTTTTGGCTAATAGGGACATAAAATCAGAGTTCATTAGTGATTTTTTAAGATTTCCCCGACCGACTGTTTTTGCGAAAATCGTCTTCAAAGTTGAACCTTTGATCGACTTTTGTGCAATTGTGGAAGCAAGTTTCTTAATGAAATTTATTTTAACTAATGTAAATTTTGATCAACAACTAAAAATGCACTAATTTTGACAAGAAAAAGTTTAGGTTCTTGTAAAACAGATCAACTTCGATTTTGAGTTAAACGGACAGATCTCGGTGACCGTAAGAGTTAGAGATTTCAAACTTACTATTGATCGAAAGAAGATGTAAGCGAATTTCAAGGATCAAAAACTTTTGTAAAACATTGATAGTTCTCTTGCTTTTGGCCCTTTAACCTAAAAACTTTGAGCAGCCATATTTCGAGAATGGTAGCAAGTGAATTCTTCATTCTTCAGCCGATCATTAGATTTTATTTCGCGCTATGATAAAATGAAATATAAACTGAATCAATAGCCCACAAAAAAAGATATAACATTCTATTACTTATTTTACCAGATTTTAGACTTGGTTTACAAGTTGAATGCTTTTCAAACTCACATCTTGTGATGTGTTAGAAGAATATCCATAATTAAAGGAATTTACTCAGTTGTGCTTTGGTATTGGATCAGATTATGTTATAGTCCAATATTATGTTATGTAATCTAGTGATTGACTAATGAATGATGAGTCTAGGTACAGTCCTTTTCGAAATATTGAGGCTTAAAGTTTTTGGGTTAATGGTCAAAATTAAGAAAACTATGCGCTAATTGAGAAAAATACTTAATCCATGAGGTTCGAAAACAGTTTTTATCGATTAATAATGAGTTTGAGATCTCTAACTCTTACGGCCACAGAGATCGGTGTGTATAACCTGAAATCGAACTTGATCTGTTTTGCAGAAACCCAAACCTTTTCTTGTCAAAATGATTGCAGGTTCTGGTTCTCCATTGCCAGTTACATCAGCTAAATGAGTTTGATGAAGATATCCGCTTCCATAGTTGAACAATAGGCCATCGAATTTTAAACTTTTAAACTCGATTTTCTCGAAAACGGTTGGTCAGAGAAATATTTCAAAAGCACTAATGGAAAGTGTTTTTTCTTCTTAAACCAATTTGGTGTCAGTATCAAGCATGAAATCACTGTTTACCTTCATTACGATGCATAAAAAGCTTGTTAACACGTAAATGAAGAAAGGATTGATTTCAGCATTTATTCTAACCAACAAACCTAATCCCTTACAACCTCAATTTTCATCGCTTCACCGCCATATTTCAGAGGAATTTCTGGCCAATGAGAACGTTTAATCAATTTCGTTTAATATTTAGCTAAAAATGGCTTCAAATGATTAGTTTAGACTGAAGTAAAAGTTATTGAAGGTATTATAATCAAAGTTAATATTCACTTCTTGCGTGGTTCCATTAATAAACCACAAAGCTATCACACTCAAATATTATCCTCAGGTATTATCCTTTTCATAGCTGAACAAACAGCGATCTAATAACTTTGAGCGCGATTTTATAAAAAATATACCACAATCAATCCTTAACACGAAAGTTTTTTGTCTGTCGCTAAAAGCCAGCATTTCCATGTTCAAAAAGTTTCAGTGCTGTTTTTTATGATCAATCCAATTAGAATGGGTTTCTTGGTTAAATGCCTACGATCGCAAGATCAATTATTAGTCAAAAGATTGGGTTTCTTGGTTAGAGTAAACGCTAAGCTCAATCTTTTCGTCATTTACATGTCAACAAGCTTTTTATGTATAAAAATGAGTTAAATAGTGATTTCATGCTTAATTTTGGAACCTATTCATGATTAGGAGCGTAAATACTGTCCATTAATGCTTTTGAAATATTCTTAAGACAGACAGTTTTCGAGAAAATCGAGTTTAAAGTTGAAATTTCGATTACCTTTTGTTCGACTATGGAAGCAGATCTCTTCATCAAACTCATTTTAATGATGTAACTGGCGATGGAGAACCAGAACCTGCACTTATTTTGGCAAGAAAAAGTTTGGGCTTCTGTAAAACAGATCAAGTTCAGGTTAAGTTAAACGCACCGATCTCTATGGCCGTAAGAGTTAGAGATCTCAAACTCATTATTAATCGATAAAAACTGTTTGCAAACCTCATGGATCAACTATTTTTCTCCATAAGTGGATAGTTTTCTCAATTTTGACCATTAACCCAAAAACTTTAAGCATAAATATTTCGAAAAGGACAGTACCTAGACTCATCATTCTTCAGTCAATCACTAGATTACATAACATAATCTGATCCAATACCTAAGCAAAACTGAGTAAATTCCTTTAATTATGGATATTCTTCTAACACATCACAAGATGTGAGTTTGAAAAGCATTCAACTTAATAAACCAAGTCTAAAATCTGGTAACATAAGTAATAAAATGCTTTAAACTTTTTTCGTGGGCTATTGATCCTGTTCATGTTTTATTGTATCATAGACTAGGATAAAATCTAATGATTGGCTGAAGAATGATGAATCTAGGTACTATACGTTTCGAAATATTTAGGCTTGAAGTTTTCGGATAAATGGTCAAAAATCAACCGATCTATCGAGGCTTTCAAAAAAGTCTTTGATCCCTGGAGTTTGCCAACAATTTTATCTATCAATAGCAAGTTTCGAATCCATAACTTTTACAGTCACTGAGATCGGTCCGTTTAACGGAAAATCGAACTTGATCTGTTTTACCGAAACCCAAGCTTTTTCTTGCCAAAATAAGTGCATTCTCTGGTTGGCAATCAAAATTTACATTAGTTAAGGTAAATTTCATTAAGAAACTCGCTTCCACCGTTGCACAAAAGTCGATCAAAGTTTCAACTTTGAAGACGATTTTCGCAAAAACGGTCGGTCAGAGAAATCTTACAAAAGTACTAATGAACTCAGATTTCATGTCTCTATAAGCCAAGAGAGTCCAAAAGTGCTTGAGAATTTATTTTTACCCGTTTTTACCTTATTGCTTCAATTTGTGCATAAATGTGACAATTGTGTAAAATACAAGCATAAGTTGCTCCATTTGTTCAAGAGAAAGGAGCTTAGACAAAGATCAAAGAA